TGAATTTTCAGTGAAACCATGAAAGTTGATTCAAACTTCTTCATTAAAAAAAAAAAAAAAAAAAAATTCACTGGGCCAGGTATGGTGGTGCATGTCTATAATCCCAGCACTTAAAAAGGTAGAGACAGAGCTAGAGAGATGGCTCAGAGGTTAAGAGCACTGGCTGCTCTTACAGAGGTCCTGAGTTCAATTCCCAGCAACTACATGGTAGCAGAGCACAGTATACATAATAAACAAATCTTAAAAAAAAAGGGGGGGGTGGTGGAGGTAGAGGCAGGATGATCAGAAGTAGGGCAGCTTGGGCTATGTGAGACTCTGTCAAAACAAAGCAAAATCCATGAGAAAGGCTGTGAAAAAAAAAAAAAAAAGAAAGAAAGACTAATACCTGTAATAGGGTTCCCTAAGTGAGCTAGTCTATGACCATACAAAAAGGAGATATAGACAAGACACTATATGAACCCTACTGCATGCTAAGTAATACTACTAGATTTATTTAAATATTTAGACTTATTGTTTATAGTTTTAGGTCCTTACATGGTGTAGTTAAACCTTTAAAAAGAATCTAAAGATTATCGGAAAATCCCCATAAAGATCTCTATTCAATAACTATAATCTGCTCAGTTGCTCCATGTCACAGCAGAATAGATCCAAGTGCATCCTGGGAAGGCAGGTCCATGGCAGGAAGGATGTCTGCTCATACTCACATTTGGGTTATCAGGGAGTCACTCTCCAGGAACCCAGCAGGCTGGTCACTTAGCGAAGCGCCTGGGCTGCAGCAGGGATCACACTGCTCCAGGATCAGTCTGGCCTGCTTTCTCTCTGGCTTAACTCTTCAAGGGTTCCCTGTAGCTTTTACACATGGCCTGTCCCCATTCTGGATGTAGGACTTCTTTACTTACACTTAAGTAAAACTGAATGTTATTTCACAGTAACCTCCTCATCTTTCCCCAAAAGAGTTCACCACCATGTTTGTGTTTCTTATCCAGGTTTTAAAAAGTTAATGGTTGCTGGGTTTTGTAGCACGTGCCCTTAATCCCTGCATTCTGGAGGTAGAGGCAGGCAAATCTCTGTGAGTTGGAAGCCAGCCTTGTCTACAGAGTGAATTCCAGGACAGCCAGGGTTACATAGTGTGACCCTGTCTCAAACAAACAAACAAAAACCAAAACAACAACAAAAAAGTTAATGGATTTTGGTAAAGACAAGCTTCAAGTTAAGTTTCCACTTTTATTAAATGTGTTTTTCTAAGGAATATATTACACTTAAAATTCACCACCATAAATAAAGACTGGCTTTAAAATCTGTTTTACTTACTAAAAATGTAAACATAAAAGGATTCACTCCTCAGTCCCAACATAATTTAAAAAAGGAAAAACCGTCTTTTCTCCAGCATAAGCAGCACAGACTTCAGCAGAGCACATTAGTCCTCCTGGGCAGGGGCAAAGGTCACAAAGGTCACGGCAGGGAGAGCTAGTTCCCACCTTGAAGCTGGTTGTGAGCAACATCCATCTCCTCTTGCAGGGACCACTCAGCTCTCTTCAAAGCCTGGCTCTTTTCTGTTCATCTGGCCCTAAGTCCTCAGCTGGGCAAGGCGTGGATCTAGGCTGGAGACTCCAGGAGGCTGAGCAGGGTCGGCAGTGACCTAGTTAGTCCTCATCAAGTGTTAGCCAGGAGGCTTTAGAGTGTAAAGATTTGAACCAACCTCCTAATTGCTTTATGCATGGCCATAACTGGGAAACTTTATTTTTTGCGGGGGATGGTAGGAGTGAGACAGTGCCTCTCTCTGTAGCCCAGGATGGTCCTAAAATCACAATCGTCCTACCTCTATCATCCCCATGCTGGGATTATAAGCATGATCACCATGCAGGGCTCAATACATTAAGTCTAATATTGAAGAAATGTTAATAACATTTCATGGAATATTCTGATATAATTACTTATGTATCTTCCTAAAACTATTTATAACCCATACAATTATATCTTCAAATCTCAATAAAGTCTAGGCCAACGTAGGCTGAAAACTAATGCTAAGCAGAATTTATAACATTTTTAGAATGCCCATTTGGTCTTATATATATAAGAACCCTATAGGGAAATGTTAGGATTACTGGAAGGATGTTCTGTAGAATATGTTAGAGAAGTGGATCTACCGACTATTAAACACTGCCCAGCTCCTTTCCTGCCCTGCTCAAGCCTCCTCACATGGCTTTGCTTCCTTCCTGTGAATTCTGAAAAAACCTGAGACAATTCACTTGGTATGTTTGACACCTAGGACCTCAAAACACTTACACTGACCTGCCTGAACGGAACACCAAGGTAGTCAGTTTTTATAAACACTTGACCTTTCTGATTCCAATTTATGGCCCCCTGGTCAGCTGTCCCCCTCTCCTTCCTACCCCAACTCACTCCTACCATGGAACACCCTGCTTGATTCCCTCCATGGGCCATGGGTTTTGTCCTTGTGATGTGAAAGGGCTGATCTGCCACAGAACACTAGCAGGAGGATATTTCAAATTCTTCAGTTCACAGCTGAATCCTATAGACAATTCTGCATCAGGATCTCAGACTGTAGACTCCTTTTCTTAGTTATTACTCGAAGTACCAATGAGCCTCTTAAACTGTCTACAGGATGAGTGGCCATCTGAGTCTTGCTAAGTACACCATGTGGGATCAGTGATGAGTGGCCTTGGCTCTAGCCTCCCTGAAGAGGAAGGGACAAAGCCGCGAAGCTAGGAACCTTTGGGAGTCCAGTGTTTCTTGACATGGGCTGCATTAAGTTTCATGTTTATGCAGAGAAAACACTGGGACACCACATTCCAAGCTTAATAAATAGATATACAAAAAAGTCATCTGTAACATTTTCTCCAGAAAGTCATTAGTGCAAATATAATTATATTAATTAAAAAATAAAGCAAAAATATATTTCAAGTATAAAAAGCACCATGCTTGGAAACAATACTACCTAAATGGTATTACTGCACAACAGTCAAAATGTAGTCAAACCTATCACTGACTCTCAATATACTGCACTGTTATTTTTGGTGAAATTCTTTGTACATTTTGTAGGATGATTCATAATCATCATAGGTATGAAAGTTTCATGTATATTCCTTTTTTGTTCTCCCTTTAGATGGTTCAGCCCTAGCTGGTCTGGAAACTTACTTTGTAGACCAGGCTACACTTATACTCAGATATCCACTAGCCTCTGCCTCCCAAGTGCTGGGATTGTGCCACCATGCCTAGCATACTGTATATTTCTTCAAAAACATCCTCGCTTTTCTGACTTTGTACAATTTAAAGAATTGAGAAGTGCTGCCATGGCTTCTCTTTAGCTGGCGCTGACTGAGTTTGGGGCCCTCAGCTTTTCACAAGGATGAACAGCTCCAACTTGCAATGCATGCAAGCATACATTTTAAATCTCTGCCTTTAAAAAAGGTGAGTTTTCCTATATTCTGAGGCCCACTGTCCCTCTGCAGTGCCATAGTTACTGGAGTTACTACTTAGTGCCATGGTCTTTGCTCACTTGCACAATTTCCTTCCTTTCTCTGTTCCCAAGACAGGGTTTCATATAGCCAATACTGGCTTCAAATTCAAATTCCCTATGTCGCTAAGGATGAACTTGAAGTCAGGATGCTCCCTCCCGCCTCTACTTCCCAAGTGCTGGGATTACAGGCCACCATGCTCAACTTTAACTGCACAATGTCTTAAATAGAGCACCCAGTAGCTATGTGCTGAGTGGGACAGGGGGATAGAGGAGTATGTCCAAATGCCATGTCTCATTTTAGAAACTGTTACATTTACTTGCCTGCATAAGCCAGTATGTGCATAGTCAGTCCCTTTCTTCTCCCACATGGCACCAGGCTTCAGACTCAGGGTAGTAGGCTTGCTGGCAAGTGCCTTTACCCACTGAGCTATCTCACTGGTCCTAAAGCTACATAATTGATCAGCTTTAGGGAGAAAAATAGGACATGACACCTCACTAAAGAATTTCAAAGCTGAGTTGGTAGAGGGTTGGTAAGCTGTGGCAGAGCAGACATTTAAAGTAAAGGCAATCTTCCAACTCTGTAAAGGATACAGGTGGGCCCCTGTGGGCAGCCTGGATGCCAAACCTACACTTGGCTCTCAGGAAGCAATTCAGATCTCCTTGTTTTGACTTGAGTTTTTCTTCCTGTCCATGAAAGAACTTCCAGACATTAGCAGTTCTTCTGTAACAGCTCGTTTCCCTGGAAGTAACTGCATGCCTAACTGCATGCCTGTCCATGTCTGAACTCTGAAGATTTACATAGGCCAGAAAGGATCAGTTGGGTTTTGGTGGATTACAGTTGTTCTAATATTACACGAAGCACACACAATCGTGCTGTCTTCTGTTTGCATGATTTCAACACTCTTACTGTGCACCGTACTTCACACTCTCCCACAGGTTTTCAAGTTGCTATGAAATTAATAAGAAATCCAAGTGGACACTGAGTCGGATGAAGACAGCTCAGAGCTGACAAATGATGGCGACAGCTCAGTCATGAACGGGTCACACAGCTGGCAGGAACAAGGTTGAGTCAGAGCTACATACACAGAACTGACAAGTAGCACAAGGACTTGAGTGTCTGGTGTCCAGGTGTTCGTTTAAACATGGGCAACGGTGACAGGAAATCTGGAATCGCAATGACCATTTTTGTACCTGGAGGCTGGGCTCCTCAACCTAAACTCTGGAATGCTCAGTAGCCGCTCTGGGAGTGACCTTGGTGCACAGGAGCTTCTTCAGTTAACATACACGCTGAGGTATGTGACCATGGCAATCCCCACATCCGCCCTGCACTCAAGGGAGAGCTCACTGCCAGAAGACTGTGTATCCATAAACTAGGGAGCCTGGGCATTTGCAGTGCCTCTCCGAGCTCCGAGGTGGCTGTGCGGCTGATGAGGATGACTGCTGTGGAGCTACACCTCACAGTCCTGCTTTGGCCAGCACTTCCAAGCCAGAGTCAGGACCGCCACCTCCACCATGTGCATCGTCACATGGGCTGGACTCTCCCAGGTTTTGTGCTTTGTTCATGGGAACATGCTAAAACTGTCACCTTGAAAATTCACTTCTCCATTCCTAGTGCCACACACACAGAAGAAATCCAGCCAGCAGAGGAAACAGATTGCCTAGGAGGAGCCAAAGCGTGACCACCAGGCTAGAAGAGCAGGAGCAGAGGTCTAGGGTAGAAAACAAACAAACAGCACGTTTGTGAGTAAATCATCCCAGTTAAATCCTGACAGAAGGGGAGCAAGCACCACCTTTAGAGAGTGGGGTGGAGTCTAGAGCTCAATGGTCCAGCGCTTGCCCTGAACACCTGAGGCCACATGCTCAATCCAGGTCCTCTATGAGCAGGCTGTGGTGTGCACTCCTGGAACCCAAGCACTGCGGCAGGCAGAGGGGAGAGGGTTTAAGGCCAACCGGTCTACACAGAAAGTTCTAGGCCATCCTGGGCGACAGAGTGAAACCCTGTCTGAAAATAAATTAAAAAATGAGTGTCAGTATTCTGAAATATATTGCTTCTGTAAGGTTATATGAATGAGCCAAATGGGAACAATAAAAAAGTACAAGAACTAATGGGGATGAAATTCACTCTAAGTGATTCAGGGTATTAGCAAGTTTTATGTTTGTCCATTCGTTCATTTTTAAGAACGAGGTCTCATGCAGTTGAGATAAGCTCTCTGTGTAGTTGAGGATAACGAACTTTTGATCACCTTGCCTCTATCTCCCAAGTGCAGGGATTGGAGGTATGTGCCACCATGTACTGTTAAATATTAGCTTTAATGTTAGCAGCTTAGTACTAAAATAGTCTAATTCACAGGACAGCTACATTAGGGATGATACCGTTAAAAAGGTGTTGCTGTAAGTTAACTCTTTGTCTCATGCAAGAACACTGAAAAGATCATATCTTAAAATTTGGAGGGTAATAACTGTTTTAAAGAGAAACAACAGTGGCAGGCAGATCTCTGTGAGTTTGAGGCCAGCCTGGTCTACAAAGCTACACAAAGAAACCCTGTATTAGAGAGAGAGAGAGAGAGAGAGAGAGAGAGAGAGAGAGAGAGAGAGAGAGAGAGAGAGAGAGAGAGAGAGAGAGAGAACTCAATCCGGGGATGTGGCTCAGTTGGTAGAGTGCTTGTCAAGCTTGTGTGAGGCCTAGGTTCAATCACTAGCATGACAAAGTAGGCATGGCACTGGTAACACAGGTAGATAATCCACTTGGAAGGTGGAGACAGGAGGAAGTTAAAGGCACCCTCAGCTTCAGATGGAGTTGCTATCTGGGGCCAGCATGAGCAAAATGAGACTGTCTCAAAAAACAAAAGATGGACACACACACACCCCCCACAGACATACATGCACATATACACAGATATACAAACATACACACCATATAAACACACACACAGATATACATGCACACATACACAAACACACACCAAATACACACATACACTCAGAGACACAAATAGACAAATGTACACATACAGAAAGACACTCAGACACACCACACACACACACACACACACACACACACACACACACACATACACACACACACACAGATCTCATGTAAAAGAGCAAGCATACACGAGAGTTCCTGGCACAGTTTAACAGGTGGTCAGTTAAAACTCTTCGTGTGCTCTATTCACACACACTGACAAACATAGGAAGTCAAGGCACTGTATCAGCAGTGTTGCTTACAAAGTAGAAGGGCAAAGCCCAAGATCTTCCTATTCTTGTTATATTCTGTAACCTCACAAAACCCTTTTAGTGGAGGATAGGAGCTAACTAGGAGGTTGAGCGCTTTGAGCATGTTCCTCACAGAAATGATGACACAACATACAGTCTCAGAGAAGTACTGATATATAAAGAGATGCTGTGTCCAGTACAGTGGGACTTGACCTGACTAGGGGTGATGAGGGGATGAAGAAAAGATACTCACTAAAGAAACAACAGACACAACAGATGTACTGTTCAGCTGGGGAGAGGTGGGGTGTACACATGCTGATGGAATTGAACCAACTACTGATACAACCTGGAACCTCACTGTGTTAGCTATGTACAGCCCAGGGGGAAGGGCTACCTAGTGTGGGTAGTAAGTCTCTGTGGGAGAGCCATCTCAGGCTTTAAAGATCCAGGAGAAGGATGCTGCAGTTGCTAGCTTTTATAGACACAATCTTTCCCACTTGGATGCTGGAGGAAGGCTCTGCCATCATTCTGAGTCTCATCTATGAAGGCTTTCCCACTCATAGGGTCGAGGCACTGGAGTCCTTCACATGGCCAGGCCCATGTCAACACACCCTTTACTAACTCAGGGTTTCCTCTGCTCCCTACAAAGAGGGAGCAGGAGAGAGAATATAAGGGCTACTGGGCTAAAGTGATGGGTGTTGTGTGTTTGTGATCACCACTGCCTCTGTCATTACGGCACAGCCTTGACTGGACTTGGCTTTCAAGTTACTAATAACAGCAGGCAGCAGGGTTTTCCTGGAGAACCTCAAGCAGAAGGAATGGGGCCTGCCTGCTCCGAAGCCCCTGTCAATATCTTATAAAGATATTATGTTTCTTCATTCCTCCAATTGTGGTGAGTACTCACCCAGAGGAAGGGCTCGAGTCAGGTTAGCAGCTGGAGGGTCAGTTTCTGGTGGACACTGCTCACAGAAGTCCCAGCAGGAAGGGCACAGCAGGTTTCCATTGTGAATCCAGCCGTTCATCTGGATGCGGACAGGCAGGACCTGCCCAGCCCGGCTGCATAGATATGACGTATCTTGGACCCAAACCTTCAGACCTTGAGGAGAACAGGAAACCTTCAAATAGGGGAGAAAAACAAAGTCAGTAAGAGCCTGGATGAATGTGTTCCACACATTTCCTCATTTACAGCATCACGGTCATGTAAACACTAAAAACGTATCTGTCCAAAGTGCCAGTGGGAGGACAGAGAGTTCTCACCTCTATCAGTACTTACGCCTTCCCAGAGGCTTCACACTGGGTTCTTAGCTATTTAATCGTTCTTTATGCTTGCGTTGTGTGTTTGATAGAGAAACAATATGTGGTACTGTAGTTTTAGAAGAAGACAAGTTTTACTCAATCTAGTTGTATGTAATTTAAAGAATATCACTTTCATAGTCAGGTGTGGTGACACATACCTGTAATCTATCTAGCACCTGTAATCAAGGCAGGAGAATTAGGAGTTCAAGGTCATTGCTAAACCAGTCTGGTTTACATAGCAAGTTCCAGGATAGTCAGGGTTACATAGAGACTTTGTTTAAAATAAAAATTCATGCCTGTCTAGCCCAAGTTATGTATATTCCAAACAGACAGTAAAAGCAATTTCTCTCAAATAAATGACAGCATTTTCTCAAAACACAGCACTCAAACTAATAATTAAAAAACCCAAGTAAGTGAAAGTAATGATCAGTAAATCATCTATATAAGCAATACCAATAATAATCTAATATACAATCATATATTTGGAGTAGTGGCTGAACTTGGGGTTTACCTGGTAGCATCCACTCCCCCAGTCTGGGTAACTGAGCTTCCTCTCGCACTGTTCCATGACAAAGGCTGATTTCTGAAGCAGACAGACCGAGTGAGGGCCATACTTCTCTGCACCGTAGTTTTTAAACATTTCTAAAATAAATCCAAAGAGTCTTCTCACACACTGACCGTTAGTGTGATTAAAAATTGTTCTGGGGACGAAAGGACGGGAAGACAGCAGACTTGGGGCCAGCTTGGGCTACAGAGACTCTGCCTTCACAACAGCAGCATAAAAGAGTTTAAAACTGCACTGACAGGGCTGGAGAGATGGCTCAGAGGTTTTGAGCACTGACTGCTCTTCCAGAGGTCCTGGTTCAATTCCCAGCAACCACATGGTGGTTCATAACCATCTGTAATGAGGTTTGGTGCCCTCCTCTGGCCTGCAGAACACTGTATACATAATAAATATATCTTTAAAAAAATAAATAAAAGTGAAAACTGGATGAGATGTGCAAATTAACAAAAAAAACAAAACAAAACAAAACAAAACAAAAACAACAACAACAAAAAAAAACCTGCTCTCAGGCAGGCCCATGGCTAACACCTGCAATCCTAGGTCTTGAAAGGCAAAGCAGGAGAACTTCTGTGAGTGAAGCCAGTCTCAGAGGGAAACTCTCTCCCAGAACAAAAACATGACATGTAAACAAACTAACTTTGCTGAATGGAAAATTTCAAATTAAAAAAAACAAAAACAAGACTCCAAATTCAACTGAGTTTTCAGAAAGGAACTGGTATGAGAGAATTACTACACCAGAAATGAGATTATGTAGACCCTAAGTATCGAGGTTTAAAAAAAAATCACAGAATTAGATACCAAAACAAGAACCACTGTCTGTGACGGCCTATAAATAAGGTGTCCGTTCATGTGACTCAGGGCAGGGGTTATAATACACTGTTGTTTGGATTTTGAAGACAATGTCTTGCTATGTAGCTCAGGCTGGGTCCAGAACTTGTGGTCTTCCTGCCTCTACCTCCCGCATCTTCTGGAAAGTCATGACAGTTGCAGACTAAAGCACACAGCTGCAGATGTGTGAGTGAATGGAGGCAAAGAGACAAAGTCTTTGGATTCTAGTTACGCGTGTTCTCCTTACAGTCCACACAAGTTTCATGGTGGTTTTCATTTATTTATTATTTGTGTATGCGCACGTGTGTGGACAACATGGGGTGTGAAGGTCAGAGGGCGACTGGGCACCTTTCTCCTTCCACTTTTATGTGGGTTCCAGGGATCAAACTCAAGTCCCCAGGCTTGGACAGCAAGTGCCTTTACCTACTGAATCAATTTGCCAGCCCAAGTTTCATGTTTTTCAAAGTAGGGAGTTTAAGTAATCCATTTTGAAACAGTATAAAGAAAAGTATTTGATTTTCTCTAAGTTTTTAAAAAAAATCTTAATTTTATGAGCTATGAATTTTATGTAGCTCGTATCTATGAACTTCAAGTCTTTGAAAGGAATATTGAATAGTATACGAATCAGAGTTTTCAGCAAACAACAATCCTCAAGCTAAACCCGAGACCCCCCTACTCATGTCATGTTCTCTGTAATCTTTCACACTGTAGCAGACAAAGCACAGTTCCAAAGCCTGAAGTATTTGTATTTTTAAAAAGTAGTGTTGAGCCTAGCACTAAAACAATACTGTGATCTTTCTAGCGAATCCTCATGGACAGATCTGTGCATTTCTTTCACTTCAGCAAGACACCGCCAAGTCCTTCCATCATTAGTGTTTGGGATGTGTCTGCAAGAGGGCAGAGAGAGCGAAAATACCAAAGATCCACTTAAGTGTGCCACGTTGAGGAATAAGTGGCAGCTGTGGTTTATATTCTATTACTGCCTTTGTGTTCAAAAGACTATTCCAAAAAAGAAAGAAAAAGAATGAATGGTTTAAAATACTACAGAAGTCTATGGCTTAAGTGATCTAATCTGTAATACAGTAGGAACAAGATAAAAAGAGGGGATGACCAAGTTAAAATTTTTGAAAAAAGATGGAAAAAACAAGTGTTTGTCTCCCTTTTTCTGTGTATGAGTGTTTTGGCTGCATGTATGTCTGTGCACCAAGAGCATGCCTTCCTGGTACCTAAGAGGCCTAAAGTGGTGTCTGATCCCCTGGAATAGGAGTTTCAGACAGCTGTGAGCTGTCATGTGGGTCCTAGGAATTGAACACTGGCTCTGTGGAAAAGCAGTCAGGGCTATTTTAACTACTGAGCCATCTCTGCCTAGGCTTTTTGAGACAGGGTCTCACTCTGTAGCCATGGTGGCCTTAAACTCTCTCTAATCTTCTCACCTCAGCCTTTCAGGTGCTAGGCTTAAACTCTCTAATCTTCTCACCTTAGCCTTCCAGGTGCTAGGATTATAAGCACAAGCCATTTTGCATGACTAATTACTGCTTTTTATTAAACATCAGATTTGAAAATATTTGTTTAGAAACTTGGTTAGTATGAACTATAATGATCACACTATTTACTGCTTTGCTGTCTTGTTTTTATATATTTAAAAGAAATAGATAATATGGCACCATCTCTTTTGGCTGTGGGATACAGTATTATTGGGAGATCTGCAGAGATCACAGGGAAAAAAAGGTTCCCTAATGCACTTCCCAAAACAGGGAGGAGCCCTATGGGATCTTCCCACCAATCGACCGTACCATTTTGGGTCTGTTCATGCTTTGGGAAAACATGACTTCTTATGTCTCCCATAGCAATTTCAGAGAGATGAAATAGTAGGAAATGAAGTGCTTTCTGCAAGGCAGATGTAAGGTGTGCACATGCATGTGTCTGTGTATCCGGCAGTCTGCAATCCTCTCCAAGTGTCAAGCAGAGTTCTAAGCACTTACTACTTAGTTCTTTTCTTCTTGCTGCTCTTAATGATTTATTTTTGTTATTTTAAAGTTATTTTATTCATTATTATTTTAAAGTACGTGTATCTTTTTGTGGGTATATGCATATAAGTGTAGGGGCCTGTGGAGTCCAGAATCGGGTATAAGATTCCCTGGAGATAGAGTGACAAGCAGTTGTGAGCTGCCTGACACAACATGGGCAGTGAACTCATGTCCTCTGCAAGAGCAGCAGGTGGTCTTAACTGCTGAGTCATCTCTCCAGCTTTCATTTAATTTTTGTAATAACTTGAGGTAAGTAATATATAGGCAGAGAAAGCAAGTAACACAAAAGTTAAGTAATTATTTATAGATAGACAGTACAGGAGATGAAACACAAACTCAAGGTTATCTGGCTACAAGAACTGTTCCCTTAGTAACTATTTTATATAGGTATCATAAAATTGTATTAGGTAGTTAACCATTCATTTCACTAGACTACTAACCTGGTTGATTTTCCAGTATTCTACAGTCGGAGCTGCGCTGGTATTCACCACTTAAATGCCAGCTGAATTCCTGACTGAAAGGGCAATAGTCAGCAATTTCTACTGACCCACCATAGTAAGGTAAATCTTCCGCAGATACTCCACTGAGCTCGTCAAAATACTGGGAACAAATCACAGGAGGGGAGAAGAATAAGAATCATTCTGTAAACTCAAAACAAGACCACAGGCAACTACAGCAACCTCATAGTGCTCCAGACCAAAAAATAGTAGTGCAATTTCCCCAGAAACTATACAATAAAGATGTAATATGTCATGGAGGGGATCTTCAGGGTGCTGCACTTTAGAAACAAGTGGTAAGTTACCTATTAAGATGATGAATTTGATTCATGTTTTAAAAGGACGAAGTACAATTAGACAAGCAAAATGAGTATTTAAAAAACCACTTAATATTAATTTTCATCACTTAGCATGTAAGTATCAAATTAATGTATCTTTGGATTGTATTGTGTTAGAATGTTTGATCTTTAAAGCTGCTATCTGGGCTGGACATGGTGGTATACACCTTTAATCCCAACACGTGGTAGACGGAGGCAGGTGGATCTCTGAGTTCCAGGCCAGCCTGGTCTACAGAGTGAGTTCCAGGACAGCCAGGGCTATGTAAAGAGACCCTGCCTTGAAAAACAAAACAAACATTGGTTGTCCAAATTGCTGACTTGAATTCCATTTAAAAAAAATCATTAATGGAATTTTGGTTTGGGATTGGCTCAGAATTTCCAACAATTTTGGAAATGACTCTACACATACTTCTGCCATTTTGTACTGCGTGTGTACTTATGTGAATTTGGTGTTTATAAAGTTAAAATATTGATAACTCTGAAATGTTCTATGTCCTTGCAGTGAAGATTTAACTATTTATGTAAAAGTAAACTAATATATCTACCTCATTAGTATGCATTTTTGCCTTTGTCTTTAAAAAATGCTAGAAGTATATGTGTAGCAAAAAATAAAAAATAAAACAAAACCCCAACAGAGCCAGACATGGTGGCACACTCCTTTAACCCCAGCACTTGGGAGGCAGAGGCAGGTGGATCTGTGTCTAAGAAATGAGTCGCAGGCCAGTCAGATCTACACAGTGAGACCTTGACTCACAAATAAACACTACAAAAAACAGTAAGAGAAAAGGGCTGGTATAACACAAAACTAATGCATAAGATGAAGGAGACATTTCTAATATAAAATACTAGGTAAAATGGACTGTGCTATAAACTGCCTTTTGTGGAGGCTGAGACATGAAGACTACTGGGGCCCAGGAGTCTGAGGCATCAAAGCAATAGAGCAAAAATAATAAACATAGGAAATGTCCATGCCATTTTAGGGGGGAAAAAAAAAGGAAAAAAAGTAAAGCTATTGGGAGGGAGGGAGAGGGAACTGGGATCGATATGCAAAATAAGAAAAAAAAATAATGCTATTTACACAAAATAGTTTGAATACCAAAGCAGCAAGGAGTCAAGTAGGTTGTAAAGATTTCACATTGTGCCAGGAAGTGGCACACCTGCCTTTAAATCCCACCAGGTGGGAGACGGAGCCAGGAGAACTGAATTCGAGGGCAGCCAGGGCACATGGTACCCTGTCTGGAAAAAAAAGAATCACATTTTACACCAACAAACTGTGATACTATCCCTACAGATTCCTTTGCTATCTGATGGTGTTCGATGTGCTCGGTGAGGTCAAGTCCATGTTGGAACATCACAAGTGAGCAGATATCATTGCCATTAGCTTCTGAGACACATGTGGCAATAGGCTCCTTTGTGAGTGGCGGATGCAGCTGGGGGACTTGAAAGACTAACAACAGGAACTTGGTTTGCTGCTGTTTATGAGAGGGTCTTAAGCCTGTGAGTGCCACACTTGGACCCAGAAGAGGAACTTAAGATCAGTCAGACTCAGGCTGGACACTAGCAGCCATTTTATTTACCTTTTACTCTTAGAAAAGATTTATTGACTTTAATTTTTATGTGTTTACATGTTTTTCTTGCATGTATGTAAGTGTGTTATGTGTGTGCAGGATGCCCCTGGTGACCAAACATTTGCTGGATGAGCTGGCAGTAGAGCTACAGACAGTTGTGAGCTGACGGTGGGTGCTGGGATGGTACCCAGGTCCTCCACAAGAGCCATCTCTCCACTCCCCGTTCATCTTTTAGATCCCACAAATCAAGTCACTTTTAAAACAGAACTTTCACATCTTCTAATTAGCTAGATTAGAGTAACTAAATAATTTTCTTCCAAGAGTTTTGTTTTCTGAATAAATTAGAGAAATTTAAAGATATGTTAGCAATGATTAGGAAGAAAAAGATCACACAGAAGCTGAGGAGTTGACTTGGTGGCTACAGCCTTTCCTGTCAAGGGTGAGGACGCACATTTGACCCTCAACGGCTGGGCATGGGGCAGCCCTGTAATCACTGCTGGGGAGATGGGACTGGAGTCTGGGGCTTGTTTGGCTGCTGTCCCAAGGCATACTAGGTAAGCTAAGCAGCACCTTAGCCTTGAAGTAATGAGGGATCTGCAGGCTTTCCTTTCCTTTTTTTTTTTTTTTTTAAACAGAAAACACCCAGAAAATGACCCAATAAAAAATGGAGGAGATTTACTCTCTTAATGAAAACAGAGATACTTCTGAAGAAGTCGGTTCTTAAAGCTATGCTGGGGACAGGTTACCTGGTACTCTGGTGGTAAAGGGTTAGGAAACCTCTGCAGGTTACACACAGCAACGGCTCTCTGGTCCTGTCTGCAAGTCAACTGCAGTGGGTTACTCCTGAGCGTGTTACAGTATGGGCTCGGAACCTGCCTCCTGCAGACAAGGAAGGCAAACTGGTATCAGGGTACTTTCCACGTCAATGGCCTGTTGGATAAAGGTCTGTACATCGCGGCACCAAATTTGAAAGAAAATATTACAAGTTCACTACAGAGCCCATCTTTTCAGTTATGATCCCCAGAATTTAATGGTTCATAGTAAATTTCAGGTTGTCAAGATTTACCCCAGAGTAGAGGGAATGATGAGCATAGATGTGGAAGACTCTTCTAGATGCTGAGAGCATTTGTACCCTATTAAAGAAAATCCCATTAACCCTTTCTATACCTTCACCAGTAAAATCCTGTTCTCTAGGGCCATACTCTGAATCAAGAAAGTATGAAGTCTCACTTCTACTCCCTGAAGAACAGAACAGATGCATTTTCTCTCTTCCTCATTTAAAGCGTAAGTGGAACCTCTAGACAGCAGAACTAACACAATGGAAGGCATAGAAAAACAGAGAGAAAAGGGACTTCAGGGTTAGAAACCCAGGGTGCTGGGAACTTTCTCAACGACTGTAGAATGGATCAGCCAGATGGCTCTGTGGGTAAAGGCTAGTCCTGTAGTCTGAGTTCAATCCCCAGAACCCACAAAGAACTGGAAACAGAGACCCAGCTCCACAAAGTTGTCCTCTGACAACCACACATGTGCCATGGCACACACACTTCTCCCTACACACAGTATGGACACACACAGTAACTCAGACAGATGAGTTTTTAAAGATTAGTTTTTAAAAACCAATTTTTAATTTTAAAAATTTAAAACAACTAGGAAAATAAGTAAGTAGGAAATCAGCAAAGATGTAAAGGGTTAACACCATGGACCCACAAGACATCATGGTCTTGCCATAGCATTCCACCAAACAACAGCAGACTAGCATTCCTTGCAAATGCTCAGAGAACACACAGCAAGACAAACCCCGTTGAGTCATAATGTATACATTCAGATAAACTGAAATCATTCAGAGTATTTCCTCCACTACAATGGAATCAAACTAGAATTCAAAACTATGACATGAAAAATGTCACACTCCTGAAAACTAAGTGACATACTAGTAAATGATCCACACTTGAGTCAAAGAAGACTCAAGGGGGAAAACATTTGAACTAGATGAAAAGAAAACTACAGCACACTGAAGCTGTGGTTGTGGGGTCTGCTAGAGAGAAAACATACAGGGTTAAAGACATTGAAAGAAGAAATGCCTCTAGTCAAATGGCTTAAGACTGTGGAGTGAGGAGGAAATGACCAGAACAAGCAGAAGGTAATATGTCACAAAGAGCAGAAGCCAACACACAATATCAGTGGATCGAAATGGACCCAGCATGGCCTCGAACTTGCTATGCAGCCAAGATGACCTCTGGAGCAGCAGGATTCCATGTTTACTTCACCACACCAGTTTATATGGTACCGGGGATCAAACCCAGGACTTCCTGCATGCTAGGCAAATACTCTACTAACTGAGCCACATTAAGTAGATTGTTAAGGAAGACCAATTTAAAAAAAAAAAAAAAATCTCTGGACAGAAACAAAGAGAGAAGGTAATTACTACAAACATCCAGTTTCAGAACCCAATCTAGAGAAGATTTATTTATTTTTCAGAGCTGGGGATTGTACCCAGGGCTTTGCACATGCCAGGCAAGCATACTACCACTAAACTACATGCTTAGTCCAGCTCTGGGATAGTAAGAATGAGAGAACATGCAAAAAGCTTAATATATGTCGTATATTATATATGCTTACAAGTTATAACCAAATGTAATTTTCATGGCTCTAGCTACCTTACTGTGAATTCTTTTAGTTTGTCATTCAAAACAACCCTGTAGTTACTTAATTTTTTTTAAGACTTATTTACTGTGTATACAGTGTTCTGCCTGCATGTACACCTGCATGCCAGAAGAGGACATCAGATCTCATTACAGATAATTGCAAACCACCATGTGCTGGGAATTGAACTCAGGACCTTTAGAAGAACAGCCAGTGCTCTTAACCACTGAGCCATCTCTCTAGCCCCAGTTACTTTAGATTTTTATGAAGAACTCACAGAATATTTTCTACACACAGTAGCTGTTATTTGATGCTTAAGATAAAGAACCTAGGTCAGAAATGAACTAAAAAAAGATACACGTGGAAACACGTTCTTACTTTTGCCTCTGCTGATCAATCCAGAATTTACAGCTCTTCCTAACAAATTCACAGCCCATTCCTCGGCCCCAGTCGAGTTTCTCGGCCATGCTGTAATTTGCTTTGTACCAGCTGTGGAAACAATGCAAAGAAAGCACCTTTTACTAACTCTTGCACCTACTACAGATCTCCACAATGGGCGGAGCGATGACTTCAGAGAGGCCCTGCAGGCCACAGCCAAAGCCGAACACTGTACAGCCCTTGCTGCAGGTGGGCTGCTGCACAGGATTGTGAGAAAGGGATTTTTAATCAAAGGCAGTTTAGGCAGCATTGACTCCAGCTTCAGGGAATCCAAAGCCTTCTTCTGGCCGCTAGTGGATACTCACACACATATAGCATAAACATAAACAAATAAAAATAAGCTGTGTGTGTGGTGCATCCTTTAGTCCCAGCCCTGGTGAGACAGAGGGAGGCAGAGCTCTATGAATTTGAGGCTAGCCTAGTCTACAGTGTGAGTTTCAGGCCAGTCAGAGATACACAATGAGACCCTGTCTCAAATAAACGAAACCCCCAAATAAATACAAATTTAAAAACTCTAATCTAGTGAAGAAGACAGATAAACCAAAATACTCTAAATAATGAGCTTTAAAAAAATTTAAAAAGTACTAACAGAAGTGTATTCACAGCAAAACTTACGCTGGTATGGGGACCTGAAGCTTTTATGAGGAAGCCCTGGAAACGGGTTTCCAGGGATTCCTGGGCTACAAGATCATTTAGTGCATTCCAGAAGCCTTCCTTTCAAAAGCAATAGAACAAGGACTGTGCTGTGGGCAGTAAACGTGAATCTTTTCTCAGGAGACTTTGGTTCAGGTTTTATATAAAATTCCAACAGTAGGTTGATAATGACAATGCACTGAGGCACTGTACCAGGGCTTTGCATATAGTAGGTTGGTTAAGTCTCAGAATGAGGGAATAAGGGTCACTGTCACCTCTATTTTACAAGTGAGGAAACTCAAAGGCGCAAACAAGTTAAGTGACAATGCCTAACACTCAGAGCTCTGGCTTCTATGTCTCTATGCACTTTAAAAAGTGAGATCAAATCCACATAACATGAAATTAATCTTTATAATGGGCACATACACGTCTAGGATACACACATGGTCATGTCCATAACTATCTAATTTTAGGACACTTCCATCACCCCCCAAATAAACCATGTTCCCTTCCCCATCTCCCACTCCTGATAAACACTAAACCACTGTTAGTCTGGATCTTTCACTTAACATAATGTTTCTAAGGCCCATATATGCTGTGGTGTATAGCATAATCCCTTGTTTGTTTGTTTGTTTGTTTTCTCTTTTTCAAACTTTAGTGTGGGGAGACACCTTCAAAGTACTAGCAAAATTGAGGGTACAAAGACGTCCTAGATTCTTCCTACCTCTATAGACTCAGTGTCCCTCACCAAAGTTACATATTGGTCACAATCTACATGGGATTGCCATTACTACCAAAATCCATAGATCACATCAGGGTTCACTCAGTATTGCATACCTTTAGGACTATATGTTCTGCCTAGCACGCATGCATAAAATTCCTAAGTTTGATCTCTACCACTACAAGAAAGGAGAAATGAAAGGAGGGAGGAAAGGCATCTATCAAATGCCATGCTACACAGCAGGGTTTAGTGCCCCACCCTGTCTTCTGGATATTTCTTTCTCCTTGCACCAACCCCAGAAACCACCTTTCTTTACACGTCTCCACAGTTTCACCCTTCATCATATAGATGGATTTGCAGTGTGAAGCCTTTACAGATTGGCTTCTCCTACTTAGTATCCATGTCTTCTCATGGTTTGTAGCTTATTTGCTTTTAGTGTTAAATAATTCTTCCTTATCTGCTCTATCACAGCTTGTTCATCCAGTCAATATGAGCATCTGTGTGTAGGCTTTTGTTGCAGGCGTACAATTTCAACTCATTCGGTAAATCTCAAGGAGCATAGCTAGCTGTATGGTAAGAACATCTTTGGTCTTATAAGCAACTACCAAACTATCTTCCAATGTGGCTGAATTATTTTGCTTTACTACTGACAATGAATTCTTGTACTTCATGTCCTTGCTGGGACTTGGTGGTATTGAGAGTGCTGTATATGTAGTCAAGACTCATTAGAGTTTTAATTGGTAGTTTGTTAATGACATGTGATGTCATACATCTTTGCACATATGTGCATTTGCCTCTGCACATTTTTTGAAGAAATACTTTTTGATTTTGCATCTCTTTTTAAATTAAGGCTTTTTCTCTATGGCCTTTTTCTTATTGTGCCATTCACTGTTCCTCTACATATTCTGGATATTATATAGTCACTTGATAAATGATCTGCAAACATATTCTTATTCTATATTATCTTTTTCTTTTCTTTTCGGTTTTTCTAGACAGGGTTTCTCTGTGGCTTTGGAGGCTGTCCTGGAACTAGCTCTTGTAGACCAGGCTGGTCTCAAGCTCACAGAGATCTGCCTGCCTCTGCCTCCCAAGTGCTGGGATTAAAGGCATGTGCCACCATCTCCTGGCCTCTTTTTATTTTCTTGATAATTTTCTCTGAGGTGATATCCAAATGTTCTATTTTTCTTCTTTGGTTGCTGGAGCTTTTGGTGTTAGATCTAAGAATCATTTTCTAATACAGTATCATAAAGACTCATAATTTATTTCAAGTGCTTTACTTTTCAGCTAGTAAGTTAGGTCTTGTCCAATTCTGACCTGGTCCCGGCACTGTTTGTTAAGGTGTTCTTTTCCTGTCGAAGGTCTTGGTGTCTCTGCCAATGCCTGAGCACTACACTTTGGTGAAGAAGCTTCCTGTGGTGTGAGGCACTATGGCAGTGAAACTGCATACTTGTGTAGAATGTGTGAGAAAGGTTTAGATTAACAGACCTAAGAGATGCACATACCAACCAACCAGGGTTATATGTAGATTTTAAACAAATTAGTTTTAAAAGGAGAAAAATAAAGGGTTGTATGATTATGTAACCCTTTTTTAACAAGATACTATAAAATATTAAGAAATTATTAATTTTGTTAATGGTTCCTTTTAAAAGTTCATATATTATAGGAACTTGCAGTGGAATATATAGGAAAAATATATGCAACTTTCAAGATTATAAAGACAACTGCAAATGAGAGAACATATTGCTGGTTCTAAGATATAGGAATGAGAGTCACTGTTTTATATGCATTGTTTTCTCTGCGTTTTGTATTTATTATTAGTTTGTTTCATAATAAAATACTAAAAAAAGTATCCCCAAGATGACAGAAGTATACATGAACTTAAATATTTGTTCTTACTTTATAGAATGAGCCTTTTTTTATTTCAAATTTTACATGCTAATAATGGCTTTCAGAGTTATATCAGCTACCTCCACCCCACACTCCAGGGTGTAAGATCACTGCTTTTTCCTTGGTGTTCTTCCAGAAAGTAGGTGAGCTGCCTGTGGTACACACCTGTAATCCCAGTTCTAGAAAGACAGAGGTAGAGGGAGCAGGAGTTCAAAGGTAGCCTGGGATAATGAACTCTGCCCCTTCCTCCCAAAACAACTGCAGTAACAAAAATCCCACAAAAGAAAACAACAAAATGTAGATTTGTGTAGAGTACCATAAAACAATACCCATGAATCATTGAAACGACTCACACACAATTTCTGCCTTCCTCTTCCCCGGGGTTGAATTTACTTCTGCATGGCAGTGACATGGAAACCATCACTTATGAATTTCTTCCACACCCTGCCTTTACCTATAATACGGCCTGCATCTTCACTCCCACCCCTTCCCCCCAATTAACAGGCAGGGAGCTAATTCCCACCAGAGCCAAGTTCTTTCTCTCATTAAGATAATTCGTTCTTGGCTTTCTAGATCTCACTGATTTTGCACTGTTGGGAAAAAGCTGTCTCAGTCAAATCCTTCCTGACCTAGATTTTTGGCTCTCATTAAACAGAACAGAGAAATTCTCTGTCTCATTATTACTATCACCACTATAACTATTTAATGGGAGCTCTATGCTGGGGACGGAACCTTGAATATGCTAGCCAAGTGTTCTACCCTTAAGCCACTGGGCCCCATTCCTCTCATTTGAATTGAAACTATTCTCAGGGTTACAATGGCCTCTATATTTTGTTATGACCTCTGTACTTTCAAATTATACTTCTGTGGTGGTTTGAATGAGAATGGCTCCCATGAGTTGATATATTTGAATAACTGGTCCCCAGGTGGCAAGGATTTGGGAAGGATTAGGTATGGTCTTGTTGGAAGCATGATACTGGGATGGCGGAGCTTTGAGGTTTCAAAATACTCCTGTGATTCCCAGGGCTCTGTTTCTGCCTCATGGCTGTGAGCAAGATGTGAGCGCTCAGCTGTTCCTTCCTCCACCATCATACACATGAACCCTCTGACCCCACAAGCCAAAGCGAATGCATTCCTTTGTTATATGGCCTTATCACAGCAGCAAAAAAGTAATTTAGACAAACTTCTTTTTTTCAAACTTTTAGTGTTAATTTTTAAAATTTTGTTTACTTTTATATGTATGGATGCTTTGCCTGAATGTATGTCTGTGCACTATACATGTATCTAGTGCCTTAAGAGGCTAGAAGAGGGTGTTAGGTCCTCTTGAACTGGAGTCACAGACAGTTGTGGACTGCCAAGTGGGTGCTAGGAATTGAACTTGGTTTCTCAGAAAGAGCAGCCAGTGTTCTTAACTGCTGAGCCATCTTCCCAGGCCATAAAGTAAATCTTTATACTTTGTTGATCTCTCAAAAGTTAAGGCAGTATCAATTATTTTCATGATATATATATATGGGGTTTTCTTTCTTTCTTTCTCTTTCTTTCCTTACTTCCTCCCTCCCTCCCTCCCTCCCTTCCTTCCTTTTAATTTCTGAGGTAGAGTCTTACTATGCAGTCTAAACTGGACCTCACAATCAGCCTGCGTCAGCCTCTGGAGTACTAGGATTAAAATTACAGGCAGTATCGCCATGTCAGCTTAGTTTCAGGGTTTTAATAATACTTTTATCACTGGTTTTCAAATTTGATGCTATTTTCAAATTTCTTGTAGGCTGTTTTAGAAAAAGCAAGAGGCAATAATGCTCCCACTAAAATTAGTCTGATTTGTTAAGTAGGAGTTACATAAAGCAGTTTATTTAAATATAATATTTCACTCTTTTACCAGAGAGATCCATTCATTTAAAAACTAGGAATCTTACAGGAATGGTGACACTAACCTTTAATCTCAGCAGTTGGGAGGCAGAGACAGGTGGATCGCTGTGATTTTGAGGCCAGGCTGGTCTAAGTACCAAGTTCCAGGCCAGAGGAACCATACACAGTGAGACCCTGTATCAAAACACAAAATAAAACAACAACCAAAATTCTAGGAATTTATATACCACTCATTTGATTAAGTAATTTAAAACTATCTAGGTTAGTTTTTCGTTCATATTAGCATGGCTTCATAGTATCTTAGATTTTGTTATATTCATTCTGTTATATTAAGAACAAACTGCACAAAAGTTAATCAATCAGTAAGCACATTTTGCTTTGGAATATCAACATTTTCTTATACTTTATTTTGAATACTCATTTCATTTTATAAACACATCATTTTCTCACAGCCATCTTACCCAGTGTCCTCCATTAATGCCAGAGTGATTCGAGAGAGGACTCGGTTCTGGGTGTGAGAACCAGTCATTGCTTCATTCTGAAAATTACCAACAGATTTTATTAGATGACAACTCTATGACTCCTATGAATAATTAAGATGTTCCATGTGGGTAAATATTTACTAGAAAATGTGCAAATATAAAATCTTTTAAAGCATCTAGATAGATGCTCTGCCTGAAGTCTCCATCACGTCTCATTTCTCCATGGTGATGACAACCAGTGGTGAAGACTTTCTGATGACAAAACGAACACAAGTATCCATGCAGTGAGGAGCTCAATGTAAACAGTTTACTCTTCCTAAGGGAGTGCTGGAGACAAGTGGTTAGGAGGGATGCTTACATGGATTTGCAAAGAAAATGCTTTCCTAACTCTCAACTTTATGATCACAGAAGCCTACACTAATGTGCAAAAAGCATGGCAGAACCAGGGGATCAAAGATCAGGGCAAAATAACCAGTTGCCAGTACTTTAATTTCCTTCCCAGGATTCCTACCAGAAAGCCACATCCTGGTAGGGCTCCAGGACAGCTGGGCCACTCTAGTGTTCTTTCCCCATACCTTAACATCACCCTTTAATACAACATTCCATGGAAACAATGCTCATCTAAGAGAAAAAAAGAAGCTAATAAAATTGCTATTCTCAGATCTTCTACTGAAAAGTATATAAAATTTCATTTTTTGGCTAGTCTACAGCTTCCAAGGAAATCACTTAAGGAAATTCCTTAAGGAAAATACAAAGACAGACACTCTCACGGGAAAAGGGAGGGTATGTGCTTTCATAAATGTTCACCATTGCTGCTCTTTGGTGACCTAGATCACAGCACCTCAGCACAAGTAGACACTCATTCTTCCCAAGCCGATGACCTTCAGCCATGAGCTCTATCTGTGGCAACTATCCAAACAGCTCTTAAAGAAGAAATATACTTTCTAACCAAGGCATCTCACTTCAGAGTGAATTTTAGCTCCAGATTCTTTCTATATAAATGAATGTGACCTGGGATTAACTTTCTGGCTCTATTCCTCTGAAACCTAATAACGATAGGACATTTCCTGGCAATAATACATAAGCGGAAAGGCCTGCTGATGCACCTTTGGGCTTGGGAGTACTATAAATGAACAGGGATACCCATTAGGAAGTCACAGTTTGAGATGTCATTGTGTAAAGTAACTACTGGGTGTATCCCTTATGGAGTCTGAAAGGTTACATCTGTAGAACCACTAAAAAGATAATAGCTCCTATTTGGGTCACAGTACACTTAAGCCAAACCATATCTTACATCCGAGGAGGAGTTTTGTGTTTCTGTACTGCAGATGTGGGAGAGAGGCACTGCTGACAGCCTGCCTGATTCTTCTGTGCTGGCATGTTGTGTGTGCTAATATCCTTCTATCGAACTGCCCCAACATGGCCTGACAGTGTGATTGTTTAGTTGAACCAAGAATGTCCACTACTCCACCACCTGGAGGGCATGCATACTAGTTGCTCATCACATCTTTTTCTGACACAGGTTCTTACTATGTAGCTCTGGCTGGCCTGCAACTCATTACATAGACCAGGCTGGCCTCAAACTCACAGAGCTCTACCTGCTTCTGCCTCCTAACTGCTGGAACTAAAGGCACCCCTACACCTAGCTTACATTTTATTTTTAAATTATGAAAATGTAGGAGTAGAGATATATCTCCAAAATAAAACAATTGTCAAGCATGCACAAGGCTGTGGGTTCAATACCCAGTACCACAAAAGCAAAAACAACAGTTATTTTAGTCTGGCATGGTGTACACATCTACTCAGCGTTCAGAATCCAAAGGCAGAGGAAAGAGTATTGCTTTAAGTTTAAGGCCAGCCTGGACTACATAAGAAGACACTGTCTTAAAAATTAGAAATTATTATTTAAAATATAATGTGCATTAACACAGGCTTGTTTCATTTATATACTATAATATTATATTATACAGCCCTTAAAAATGAGGAGCTCCATGTGTAGTAGTCTATGCTGCTAATGTAAGTTTCACCTTCTTACTCCATAGCCTGTTTAAATAATCTCCATTCTAAAGGAATTTTAGAATTACTTGAGCTTGATTTACTCTAGTACATTCATTCTACTTCCAGATTCCCTCTGTATAATAAACAAATGTTTTACACAGAAACACATTACATAGTATTGAATCATGTGCACCAGTTACGTTAGAAATAAACATTGCGCAGGACTGAACAGACCTCCAGCAACCGCTTCTCCCAGTGGTTGAGCTCAGTGCCCATCCCGCCTTGATTTTCAAGCTCCATCCCCTCTAGAACTGGACAGTTGAAATGCCTCCGCGCTTCTTCCTGAGAGTCAGAGAAACAAATACCACGAGAGCATGGTGAGACACAGCACTCACCACAAGTTATTATAAAGTCATACCAAATATCAGCTTGATGAGATTTTAATGTAGTTAAATACTTTGATATTACCACATTCTTCTTGGCTAGAAAACTATTACTTCTCTTAATATTTTTTCTCTCTTTGAAGATTTTATTTATTTATTTATTTCTGGTTTTTTGAGACAGGGTTTCTCTGTATTGCTTTGGAGGCTGTCCAGTTACTAGTTTTGTAGACAAGGCTGGCCTCGAACTCAGAGATCCGCCTGCCTCTGCCTCCTGAGTGCTGGGATTAAAGGCGTGCACTATCTACTACTGGCTGAAGATTTATTTCAAAAACGTGTGTGTGTGTGTGTGTGTGTGTGTGTGTGTGTTCATGTATACAGGCAAGAGGGTATCAGAACCCTTGAAGCTAGAATTGCAGGCATTATTTGTAAGATTCCCAGCTTGATACATGGGTGATGGACTCTGGTACTCGTGGCTGCACAAAGAACACTCTTAGACACTGAGCTCTCTTTTCATGTTTCATCTATAAGGGACATATATTTTTACATATAGTGGCACATGATTATTATTAGAGGCAAGATCAGGAGTTCAGGTCATCATTACCTGCAGAGAGTATAGCCTGAGCTACGTGTGACCCTGCCTCAAAAAAACACACAAAAAAATGTCACATCAAAAAAAAAAAAAAAAAAAATTAGAGCTGGGTGGTGGCATACACCTTTAATCCCAGCACTTGGGAGGCAGAGGCAGGTGGATCTCTGTGAGTTTGAGGCCAGCCTGGTTTACAGAGTGAGTTCCAAAGCAATACAGAGAAACCCTGTCTTGAAAAAAAAAAACAAAAACAAAAAAAGCAGTGGGCTGGATGGGGATGTACTGCCAAATTTTCACTTCCTCCCCTCTGTCTTAGCTCGCTGCTTTATTAAATTGTCTTCCTACATTTTCTTTACACATTAAAATTTAAGTACACATCCTTAAACAGAAATTACCAGTAAAGCAAGGACCATAATCAGAAATGAGACACAAGGAGGTTCAATAATACTCACAACAACACGAGGTGTTACTAAGAGATATACAGTGTGCCGAACTATCTTATTATTTCGCACATTCCACAATCTCTCCACTTTTCGAACGACTTTGTCACTCCACTGATACAATCCAAGACTGTAATTACAGAATAAAAGACAGTCATTTTGTCTGTTTATTACAACTGTAAAAGTATTTATGAATAACAATATGAAATTGAAATACTTGAGAGTTTATTATGTATCATTTCCATGTAATGTACTTATAAGCATTTTCTTTCTTGAGACAGGATCTCACTATGTAGCCCTAGCTGGCCTGGCACTCACTGTGTAGGCCAGGCTAGCCTTGAACTCACAGAGATCCACCCATCTTTGCCCCCCAAAGACTTCAATTACAGGCATATACTACCACATCCAGGTTCACAAGGATTTTCTAACAGTCTCTTGTAAGGCAAAAAGGCAGAGGCTTAGAGAGATGAAATAACTTATTCAAGTTCATACAGCAATACTGAGCTGGTGGTACAACAATGAATTAACTACATCCATCTCTCCTTTGACTTTCAAGAGATCCAGCCCAGGATGTTGTAGATGCAAGGCAAGCCCTCGGCCGCTGACTAGACCCCAGTCCTCAGTGACTTCTTCTCACAAGTTTATTGCATGAAAAAAAGAAAAGAGGAGGAGGAGTAAAGTAAGTAAAGAAAAGGAACCAAGGTAGAGACAGACCCAAGCATGTAAGAAACTGAACAAAAACTGCTGCTGATTTAATGAAAACATGATTTCACTGTTGTGCGCTAAAATTGGTTATCCACTAAGGAAAACAATTATTTCATGTCAGCTACAAAATTAATTTCTGGAAAGTTCTCAGGAAAAAACTCTGGCATGAAATCAATGAGAACTTGGCCAAATCAACGTTTCCAGAGCCCTGGAAATAAGCAAAGGGCTGCATCAATTTGAGAAGCCCTTATTCATGAAAGATGGATGAGTTTCATGAAGAATGCTAGTGCTGAGACTCCCATCCCTTGTCTACAATTTCAAGGCCACTATGAAAACCAATAAACCAGGATGGTGGCAGCAAAGAGGACTTTGAAAAAATGCATGATTCACTATTTCAGTCTAAGAAATGCTGTTTAGATCCAAGGACACAAACAGATGGAAAGCAATTTAAAAGATGCACTATGTAACTAATTCCCTGAAGAAGGTTGTAGTGGCTAACATCTAAAGAAAGAGATGTGAAACAAAGTTATCCTTAGAGACAAGAATATCCAACAATAATAAAAGGGCTTACAGAAGAACCCAAAAAATATTTCCACCAACACTAATGCCATCAGATGCAGATGGATAAAGTTCAGTTGGTACAGTGCTTGAGCTGAGTTTGGCCCCCACCGCATCATGTAAACTGACTATGGTGGCACATACCTATAATATGGAATTCAAGGTCATCCTTGGCTACATGTAAGTTCGAGGCTAGCCAGGCACATTAGGCCTTATCGGGGGAGAGGGGAACCAGTTACTTTTATATTTATTGCATAACATATCTGTTTATCTACTTCCAATTTTGAGTTTTGTTTTGTTTGTTTGTTTGTTTTGAAGAGACACCTTATTTTGGACTATGGTTTTAAAAGTGGATACAATCCATTGTGGTGAGGAAGTCTTGGCAATATGAGTGTGACCCAGTTGGTCACATTGCATTTGCATTATAGGGAGCAAGATTAACCCAAGACTGTCTCAGAGGCCCCAAAGAAAGGACAAAGGGAACTTCAGTTCTGTGTCTTTGTCCAGGAGTAGACTTGGCAAGGCCAGTCTAGAACTAAAGCCAGTGCCTCATAGGAGTCAAGGATGCTATTTTAGGGACGTGACTCTCCCCCCCCCCCATGCAATGGTTATCAGTCCTTAGTCAGCTGTAGCTAGGTATCCCATGTTTTTTGTTAACACTGTCCTAGCTCTCTGCTGACCCTGGCCATTTCCCCCCACAAATAGTATAGACAATGCTATATTTCTTAATAAACTTTCTTGGCATAATTTATCAGCTTATGCAAGACCTCCTGGTCCCAGCTATTGGAAGACAATGTTTAAACATAATGAACAAAGCAAACAAAAAACAGTTTTTAGTTCATTAATCAACCAATGTTCTGTTCTCCATTCATCCTTCAAGGGTAACAGCTTCTCTCAAACCTTACTCCCTTTTGCTTTGTTTCTTTCTTTTTTTTTTTTTTTTTTGTTTGTTTGTTTGTTTTATTTTAAAGAGGTTCTCATATAGTATAGGCTGGCCTTAGACTTGCTATGTAGCAGAGGTTGGCCTTGAGCTCCTTATCCTACAGCCTCCGCCTCCCAAATTCTAGGGTTACAGGTATAAACCACCAAGCCCAGCATATGAATGGTTTCTCCAAACAGGCTAGAGCCAAATCCAATTCTTGATGCCTAACAAGTGAATTTATTACTCTGGTATCTACAATTTAACTAGAAGATTTCATCAAGTATCAGCAGCTTCCCTTGACCTTGACATCCATCACTCTCCCACTGCAGAGAGTATGCTAATCTCATCATTTACATTTTACATCAGGACCGGACCAGTACTGTTTTCAAAGACCAGACTTCTTCCACACTGCCAAACAAAAGGCACATTCTAGAAAAATAACCATTCATACATTAACAGTTTGTTCCTTTGTTGTTGTCTTCCCAACTTTGGTTCTCTGAGATGAGGTCTCATGTAACCCAGAATTGATTATGTAGCAGAAGCTGACCTTGAACTTCTAATCTTCCTGCCTCTACCCAACCCCCAAGTGTGGAGGTTACAGGTATGGGTCACTACCACTGCCTAGAATTTTGTACTTCATAATTACTCTAAAAATACTAAAAATAAGTCAGGTGAGGTGGAACACACCTTATTCCCAGCACTTGAGAAGCTGAGGCAGGTAGGTATCTGAATTTGAGGCAAGTCTGGTCTTCAGAGCGAGTTCTAGGACAGCCAAGGCTACATAGAGAAATCCTGTCTCAAAAAACAAAACAAAACAAACAAAAAAACCCAACAAGAAAGAAATAAATACGAGCTGGAGAGATGGCTCAGCGGTTAAGAGCACTGGTTGCTCTTCCAGAGGTCCTGAGTTCAATTCCCAGCAACCACATGGTGGTTCACAACCATCTACATGCCAGATCTATACATAATAAATAAATCTTTTTTAAAAATTAAAAAAATAAACAAATACACACTAATAGCATTAACTATTTTACTGGAGAACTTTGTAATTAAAGCAAAATATACATAAAACAAGTCATAGAAGGGTTAATTAAATTTTTTATTCTTTTTTATTAACATGCTTGTGTGTGTCTATATATGTGTATATCACTTATGTGCAGGTACCCAGGGAGACTACAGGAGGGGGTCAGATCCTCTAGAATTCCAGTTACAAGCAGTTACGGGCCTCCTGATACTGGTGCTGGCAATAAAACTCAGGTCCTCTGGAAGAGCAGCAAGTGTTCTTTAATTGCTGAGCCTTCTCTCCAGTTCCAAGTGTTTTTTGTTTAATTCAAAAATTATTTATTATTATTATTAGTGTGTGTATGTATGTTTGTATTATGTGTTATATGTGTGTTTGTTAAGCTTGTACAACAAGCACTTTCCTGCTGAGTCATCTTGCCGGCCCCAGATGAACTGTTACTACCTCCACTGTGTTAGTACCCTAAGAAAGGGAGGGATGGGATCAGTCAGCACCTGGGAAGTTTCCCTGTGACACTGTTCCATCATAGCTACTTTATAGCAGTTAGCAGACTGCTCCTTAAAATGAAGCCCTTACCTTTTATTATTGCCAGTATCTGATTTCCATATAAGTGGACTACTTGAGTTATTTTGCTTTATACTATACCTGAGTAGTTTACCCATGTTTCTGCAAACAGCAAAGGATTTTGCTGGTGCTGGGACAAAACCTATGACCTCATGTGCACATGTTCTACTACTAAGCTACACCCTAGCCAATAGTGTGCTCTTTTTAGTATTATGTAGCTTTTGGTTTTATGAACATAATAAAATTTACTTATTTAACCTAATTTTGATAGATTTTGAGGTGGTTTATAGTATTTGGCTGTTAATAACAAAATTGTCATGAATATTTTCAAGTGTTATTATGGCTATGTGCCCTTATTTTAGATATCTATTTTTACATACATGCAGACTGATGGTGATTGTCTTGTGACTGTTATTTTCTACAAAGCTGATAAGCTGTTCTCAGCATTTCTTAGCATTGCTCATTTTAGATCCTGAACCTCTTAAAACACTGCTACTTTAGTAGGCTAAATAAATAAAACCCCAAACGTGACCACGCCATGTTTTCCCATAACCTAACTATACGGTAAAGTGCAATGTGTTATAATATGGTGGGAAGACCCCTGAGTGTCAAGGGTATCCTGATCCTCTGAACAAGCCAACTCTTAAGTGCATCTTGTCTTAGCGTTTACAGTTACTTTGGGTTGGCCATGCAGTCATTGTTCACCACATGGCCGATGCTGTGATTCCCGGGTTCTAGTCCTAGCATCCTCTGAAGAAGATGAACATGAATGAAAATAGCAAATACCTATAGTTGAAAGGTGGGAGGCCATCTGCAGACCGTGGTGTCAGGGGAGTTCCATCTTGATCATGGTAGAATGCAAAAAGTCCAGCAGAGAAACCCTGGAAGAAAGAATCCAGAGTGTCCTACAGTACAATGTTAAGTTCCAGCACAGACACAATAGCATCCACCATCATGGAGGTGTTGGGTGCTACTCAGCTCTGCAGAGGTTACCCCAGACCTCAACTCAACAGCAAGTAAGGGTGCTGCATTGACAGTCTAAAACACTGAACTACTTGCTGTTAACACTCTAGATGCCATGGAGCTGGAGTTAGGGGTATTAGGAACTGAAAGAGCAGTATGCATTTTCACCCACTGGGGCACCTCTCCAGCTCACTGATGTAAATGTTTTCTGAAGTACATTATATATTCTAAATTTGTTTCCAGGCTATACATATCAGTGCTATGTTATCATGATACTTCCAGGCACACACCACGGAGCATGGGGAATTATATTTTCTATAGATGAGTTAGTATTTTTCCTATTGGAGACCCTATCAGGTATCATTTCCAAATGTGGAACAAAAGCTGAAAATGTAAAAGTGGCACAATGAATTGCAGGACCAGTATCAGACTTAAAAAGAGAAACTCATTATCCACTTTATACTGAACACAACCCAAGGCACTATGGACAATGATAACAAGGACATTTCTGGCTATCTTTCTCACCCAAATTTACTAAGTGCCTAAATGCAGCCACTACTACTGAAAATTATTAACAATATTGAATGCAATAGGGAGCTAGGCATCAAGTACACTCCTAATAGCATCTATAAAAGCTCAATGTCTTCCAGGTGGTGGTGTGGTGGGATTAAGGTGGCCCTTAATCCCAGCACTTGGGAGGCAGAGGCAGGCGATCTTTGTGAGTTCAAGGCCAGCCTGGTCTACAGAGCAAGTGCCAGGACAGGTTGCAAAGCTACACAGAGAAACCTTTTCTTGAAAAACCAAAAACAAAACCAAAAAACCCAAAAACAACAACAAAAAGCTCAATGTCTAATCCTCAAATTGTCATTATATACACATCCATCCATCTACATTTGTGTGTGTGTGTGTGTGTGTGTGTGTGTTAGAGGCAGTCAGGCATGCAGCTCAGTTGGTAGAATGGCTATCTGATGTGTATGAAACCCTAGATTTAATCCCCAGCACTGCATACACTGGGTACCGTAGCACACCCTTGTAATCATGGCCTCAAACTTATTGCAATCTTCCTGTCCCAGCATCTCAAATGCTGGAATTACAGGCCCGAGCCACCACACCTGGCCCTAAAATGCTTTTCTTTAGAAGTTTAACCATCTCTTCAACAGTCCTACTTATGCAATGGAAATGTTTGTTTAACTGTAAATTATACCAGATAGCAAAATTCAACCTACCATTCTGACCATCAAAAATTCCTATTGACAAAAACATAACTAACCAGGTTTTACCGAACATGAACCTAAGAATTCACATATCATTAAAAACATGTATTAAGATGACAGAATAAACAACAAATCAACAGTCTGAAGGCAAGGGCAGAAGTTAAATGGCATTTACCAGGGCATGAATGATCTCATGTTTCACTGTGGACAGCATCCCAATAAACTCTTGTGGTTGGGTGGAGATCATATTTGGACAGAGGTTAGCATATCCTGCTATCGGCCTGTTAAAATAAACATGACATTTTTCACTATATCCCAGAGTAGTATTTACAATATTTGCTAACCTATATTTCTCTATGAAAAACAACAAGGACATTATTTATCACATGCAATTTTATAGCTAATTCTAACTTTTTTTTTCTGTCAAGGCCCACACTCACACCTTTTGCTTTCCAGTGGCATGGAAAAAATGGCACCTGCTTTTTGGAGGAAAATGGGAGCTTCATAGGATTTTCAAGTGTTCAACACCCTGAGTAATGACACCATATATACCGATGTCTTTCAAAGACGTAGCAAACAGACCATGTGAAGAAATCTAAGCTTCCCTCTACCCTTGCTTTAGCAGTTTACTGTGGAAATGCCATAGAGCTCACTAAGTTATAGTTGCCTACTTATAATGAACATTTGTCCTATTTAAAATAGCTGGAGTCGAAGGCCTGGACCATTAGGCTTTGTTTAAAGGAGTTTCTGGAAGGAACAGGTCCACATGGCTTTTCTCTAGCATGAATCTCCACTCCAGCCCCTCCCACCCCACTCCCCTCCAGCTTCCCTTTTCTTTCTTGTTTTCTGGCTGAATTCAGGGCCTCACACATGCTAAACAATTACTCTATCACTAAGCTACATCCTCAACACTTTCCCCCCCCCCCCATTTTGATACAGGATCTTGCGAAATTACAAGATCTACTATGCTAACCCAGGCATAGTAGCTCATGCCTGCAATTCTAGCACTTGGGAAACATTAGCAGGAGGATCATTTTGAGTTCAGGCCAGTCTGGAGTCTACATGGTAAGTTTCATGGCAGCCATGCCTACATACCAAGAAGCTTTCAAAAACAAACAACAACAAACTAACCTTCAACTCTGAATTTGCCTGAACTAGCCTTCCAAGTTGCCAAGATGGCAAGCATACACCTATCTCCACCCAAAGAGAGTCCCCTACCTCTTTATTTGGCTAAAATCCTAACACTGCTCTGGCAGCAGCTAAAATTTTACTTCTTTAAAAGAGGTCTTCCTTTCCAAATCAAGTGAAATGATATTCCTTATAATTCTTTCCATTTGTTCTATGCTACAGGATCTTGAATGAAGTATGTATCACATTTTAAAACAGCATGCTTACTTGTAGGTCTTCATACAATCTGTGAATTGCAGGAGGCAAGCACACAAGTGTGCTTGTTCCCCTTCTTTGCTAGCAGTATAATCAGCCTGTCATGGGCATAGACTCACACGACAGAGTTCTCTAGACTCATAATACTGGTTGGGTGTGGCATCCATGCCTTTGTAATCTCAGCACTTGGGAGGAGCAGGAGGATAAGGAATGCAAAGTCATCCTCATTCAAACCATAGAGTGAATGAGTTCCAGGCCAGGCAGGAGACGTGAGACTGTATCTCACTGGGGTGGGGAGAACTAAAGATAGAGGGCTGCCCTTTGTCCCACATCACCATTCCCAGAAGAAAACAAATCCTTCCCCAGGTGTGACCAGTTCCACATTCCCTGGTACAAAGACTATTCACTCTTTTACCTATTCACCCATACCAAATGTGATCAAACATTAAAGTGTAACAAAACTGAAGCACACCTCTCCTGTCTGCCAACTACACTGAATCCTCTCAGCACAAGACAAGCAGATCCAGTAGGTGCTCTTAGCAGCACCAGATGCAGAAACAGATGAACTAACCTAGAGTCAGTCAACCTGGGATTTTATATCCTTTCTGTTATCATTCAGGCAAATGCAAACTCGCCGGCCCCTTGTGGACCTGGCAGAGTGGTCACCCTTGCACACATGGCCGGCAGTACTGTGGCTCTGTATGCAGGTGCAAAGGTCCCTTTAAGAGACAAGCTCCACCCACTCCTGCTTTTTCTTTCCCCCATTTCTTTGAGGAGGCAGACAGGTCTCTATCCTTCCTTCCCTTTTTCCCTCCCTCTCTCCTCTTCTTTCCCCTCTCTCCTTCCCTTTCCCCAGTAAAACTTCCTTCCCATGTAAGTTCTGTCTGCCTGGCATGTTTGTCCCTCACCCACCACAGGAACCGCCAAAGGTCTCACCAGTGCAGCCCTCACTCATCCAGGCAAGTCATCTTGATCCTAATATATAAAGTCCAGCATAGCTTTTACAAAAGTTTTAAAAAGCTTATGGTATAAAAGAATATGCTCTAACAATAACAATGTAGAAATATATAAAGAGGCTGGAGAGATGGCTCAGCAGTTGATATCATGGGCTATTTTTCAAAAAGACCTGGTTCAATTCCCAACACTCACACAGTGGCTCACAACTCATCTATAACTCTGCAGTCACACAGCAAATAAATGGTGTACAGAAATATTTGCAAACAAAGCACCCATATGCACAAAATAAAAGCAAACCTTTTTTGAAAAGAAATACATAAAGAAGATAGTAAAAATGCCCTTGTTACTCCCCACCTCTTGTAATGTCCAACATCAGAGGCAACTACTATTGGCAACAGTACCATGCATGTTATTTTCAAGCCATCTTAGTTTGCCCAAGACTCAACAGTTTCCTCTGTCTCCTCTAACACCGGACATTCAGTGTTATAGTCAGGACAGTCCTAGACAAACTGGAATGACTGGAAAGTCTGTCTTTCTAAGTCTTTTTCTCAGAGCATCCATATTCAGACAGGTATTTTGTTGTTGCAATGTTCTTTCAACATTTTATATTTTAAAAATGCAATTTTTTGTATGCAAACCATACAGTTTAGTTCAAATTGAAGAAAAGAACTATTATCTTGTAGCACTAACAAGTCAAAGTGTATTACTCAAACATATTCCACTGCTGAGAGGTGGTGGCTCATGCCTTTAATCCCAACACCTAGGAGGCAGAGACAGGTGTGTCTCTGTGAGGGTGTGCCACAACCCTCTGGCTAAACTTATTTTCATAGGATTTGTTTTTCATTTTATGTGTATGAGTGTTCTGTCTGCATGTATGTATTGCACATGTGTGCCTGGTGTCTGCAGAGGTCTGAAGTGATCTGATCTAGAATTGGAGTTAAGTGTGGTAGCGAGCCATGTGAGTGCTAGGGACTGAACTGGCACCCTCTGCAAGAGTAAGAGCTCTTAATCACTGCTGCATCACTCCAGACTCTGGAACTAGAGGGTCACACACAAGCAATTATGAGTAGGCCTGGTGGGGGTGCTTGAGATGGAACTGGAATCCTCTGGCAAAGCAATTATATAATCCTAGCCTCCCAGTCATCTCTCTAGTCCCCCTAACTTATTTTTTGTTGGATTCTCTGTAACAACAGTGAGAAGGAGAAACAATCACATCGCAGTGACTCACTGCTTTTCACAATGCATGCTTACTTCCTCAGGCCCTTCACGAAAATAAATTAATACATGAATACACCAAAGAAAGAAAAGATAAAAACTCTCCAAAGTCAAGGAATCTTTGGCAGACAAAATGGTCATGAAGTGCTCATGAATTAAACATGCTAACTTCTGAACGTCACCCTGTGACACTCTTGAATCAGAGGTTCTCAACCTTCCTAATACTTCCACCCTTTAATACAGTTCCTCATGTTGTGGTGACCCCCCAGCCATAACATTATTTTTACAGCTACTTTATAACTGTACTTTTCCTACTGTTATGAACTGTAATATAAATATTTTTGGAGCTAAAGGTTTGCTAGAGAACAGGCTGAGAACCACTGCTTTAAGTCATGTGAGAGTTTACTACTTCTGTCAACTAGTTTTCTGGTGTGTAGCAGCCAATCTTTTATGCATGCAATCAATTTTTTTGGGGGGTGGGAGGAGTTGAGACAGAATTTTTCTATAGCTTTGAAGCCCATCCTGGAACTTGATTTGTAGAGCAGGCTGGCCTTGAACTCACAAAGATTAGCCTGTTTCTGCCTCCTGAGTGCTGGGATTGAAGGAGTGTGCTACTGCCACCACCACCTGGCTGTAATCAATTTCAATTGACTTACCTGGTAAGTAAGATGTTAATTTGGTGGGTAATACAATAAAATACTAGAATATTCTTATATTTGTACAGTGTAAGATGTTAAAGGTAAAATTTAAAGTTCAAATTATTTCCTTAAAGAAGAATTAACATTATAATAAAATTCTCATCTTTTGTGCTTTGTTTTGTTTTTTAATCAGAAATTCTCTCTTGATAGTATTTTTTTTTTCTTTTTGTTTTTTTTTTTTTTTTTTTTTTTTGTGGGAAAAAGGCAAGAGGCTGAGAGGTGGCCCAGCAGTGAAGAGCAATGACTGTTCTTCTAGAGGATCTGGGTTTGATTTCCAGCATCCACATGGTGTCTCACAACCGCCTGTGAATCCAATTTCAGGGAATCTGAAGCCTGACTTTCTCAGGTCCCTACTTTCTCAGGTCCCTGCACACATGTGGTACACGTACGTGTACACACACACACACACACACACACACAAACACACACACACACCCTCAGGCATACATATATACCCACAAAGAATAAGTAAACACATTCTATTTTTAAAGAAAAGAGGAAAAAGTCAAGTGAAGTTTTTCACTTTCTTACCTGTAACAATTTATTTCTTAGTCCTAAAAGCAACTGAGCAGATGCAAAATTCCTTCATAGTATACCAAAGCTTTTGGGAAGTGGCTTCAGAGGAACGCTTACCTGTCCATTTTTGCCTCCTGCTGACAATAGGCTGCATAAGAGATGATGTTTTCATGGCTGCATCTCTCAGTGGCCAGAGCACCAACATAGAGGATGAAGTCTGCATCCTGGACACCCTCTTGGTCTAGAACACCCACTGCTCCGCAAGGCCACTTACCCTCTCGGCAGACTCTGCATTGCTGCACACAGGCGAACAGAAAAAGCAGACCAGACACTGGGTTAGCTGAGTGGCAGGGTCAGGCGATTACAGACTGGAGGTTCACATTATTCAGCTTTCACTTATTCTCCCTACACCAAGTCAGGAATTGAGCAGGTATGCGTTGCAAACCTACAGTCCTGGTACTTGGGAGGATGAGCAATGAGGCAAGACTTCTAGGTCATCAACAAAGCAAGGCTCACAAATCCCCCCTCTTTCTCTCTGTTCTGTTGTTTCCTCTTTAGAATTTATTCCACTATTATTATTAACTGATGTGGGCAGCCCAGCCCACTGTGGGTGGTGCCATCCCCAAGCAGGTGCAGCATCCTCCACGGTTCCTGCTGTAGTTCCTTGGAATACCAACGGAGTCTGTCCTTAAAGTGCTTGCCCTGATGTCCTTTAATGATGGACTATAACCCAGCCACAGAAATGACAGTCAAACACTCTCTGACTTTCCTACACACTAGGAATGGAACACATGGTAGGCAGTGTTCTACCACTGACTTATGTCATATACATAATTTTTGCAATTTCCTTTGGATATGACTATATCAAATCTAATTAATAATAACTTTCACCCTATTGGAAAGTGTTTCCCATTATACAGAAATATGGGTTGGTGAGACTGTGTGGCAGTAGAAGCAATGTTGCCAAGCCGGACCTGAGTTTGAGCCTCAGACCCTACATGGCGAAAGGACGGGTCTGACTTTCAAACCAATGCTTCTGGCTTCCACACACATGCCATGGCACAAACACACAAACAAATAAATGTAATCAAACAAAAAAAGCAAGTAGCTGGGGATGGTGGTATATACCTTTAATCTCGGCATTTGCGAGGCAGAGACAGGTAGATATGTGTATAAAAAAAATAAAAAAAAAAGCCAGCCTGGACTCTATAGAGAATTCTGAGATAGCCAGGACTACATAAATACCCTATCTCAAAAAATCAACAATAAATAGTAAAGCTGAAGAGTTAAGAGTATCACAGACTGATTGCTCTTGCAGAGAACCCAAGTTCCGTTCTTAACACTCATGTAAGATTGCTCACATCTGCCTGAAAATACAGCTCCAGGGGATCTGATTTCTACGACCCTCCCTGGGCACCTAGGCTCATATCCTTATTCACATATACATATATTAAATTAAAAATACAACTTTTTACAAAAGAAAGAAAACGAGGACTAGGGAAGGTTCAAAGGTTAAGAATACTAGCTGTTCTTCCAGAGGATCCAGGTTTGACTCTCAGCACCCAGACAGCAGCTCACAACTGTCTCTAATTCCAGTTAGAGGGGATCTGATGTCCTCTTCTGGCCTTCCCAGGCACTGCACACACAAGGTGCACAGATAATTATGCAAAAGAAAAAAATTATCATTTTGAACTGTATCTAGATTGTTTTGTGTGTACATTCTTGCAGATATTCCTTCTTCTGATTTCTTCTGCTTTCTGAAGTAAATCTTGCTATGCAGCCCAAGCTGAAACCAAATCTCCTGCCTCTGCCCTCCAAGTGCTGGGATTATAGACATTATCACACACCTGGCTCACTGCATAGAGCTTTTTGTTTTGTTTTTGCAAATGCACATCTGGTACTTTTCAGATAAGCAAGCTAACTGGACCTACTGACTTCCAATTTTTTGTCTTTCAGTTAAGAGCTTAAATATCTCTTCAAGTCAGTACAGATTGACTTCATTTTTAACCATTCCATTTTATAGCTGTACTATAATTTAATAACCTAAATAGGTCTATTTATATTTCATAAAGAATACTCCTGAACACACATTATACAGTTACTATTATGAAGCAGAACCCTGCAATGTTGCCCCAGCTGCTCCTGAATTCATAGGCTCAAGTGACCCTCTTGCTTCAGTGTATCTGGAGGTGGATGTCACTGGGCCTGGTCAGCTGCTGGGATTTTTATGGAATACAATTCGAACTTGGGTTGAAGCTGACAGTTTATGTTTAAGGAGACACTAAATTGCCCTTTTAAAATGGTAAAAGAAATATTCCTGAAAAACAAAACAAAAAGGATAGTTCTCAACCAAACTGCTGCAGCAGACCCTGGCACAATATGGATGGGCCAAAGAAAAGGTCACACAAGTCTGCATAGCCATGAAGGAATAAAGCCAGAACCCTACATGTCACTAGCTGTGGGTGGAGTCTCGGGTGGTAAAGTACTTGCCTAATGTGCAGAGACACCGGTTTACTCCACAGCACCACAAACAAACAGAGTTACTATGCCTTTGTACCAGCATCTGAAAACTCCTGCTCAGAGACTGGGAACTTCCCGTTTTGCTCAGAGACTGGGAACTTCCCGTTTACACTCTGCAATGGAAAGCCTGCTGAGCGCAGGAGACTTACCTGGAGATGCTCCTCGGGCACTATAACCGGGCCACACTTGGTATGCACTGCACACTCCCCAGTACAGTATCTGTGTGGATCGTTTTCTTTCCGTAGGTACTGATTTGTTGCACATTGTCTTTGGGTTAGTCGTACATCAAACATTAAAAATAAATAAATAAATAAAGAGAATGGTTCACAGCGTTAAAATACAGTCACTTGTGCTGCCTGCCACTTATTACCTCTTCTCCACCATCATGGACCCTAACATCATGAACCCTAAGGTCCAAATAAGCCCTGCCTTGGTCACAGTGTTCTATCGCAGCAATAGAGCAGTAACTAATACACCCACTGTATTATTACTTCTTTAAGAATGGTTACTATTTAACTAGGTGGACAGTTCACTAAGAGACTTATCAAACACCTCCCAAAGCAAACAGGACAACCGCATGGAGGAGGAAGGAGGAGTGAAGACAAGAACAGCTGATAATGGATGGAAAGGGGCTCAGTTAGCAGGTGCTTTCCAACCCCTTTAAAAACACATGCACTAAAATTCTACTAAAAATTTCATGCGCTGCCATACGGTAGATTGGGGAGTCCACAGAGCTAACTGATGGAGAAAGGATCCCTGTCTGATGTCACATACCTGCTAAGTAAGATCCTGCCAGCAGGCCGACGAACCTGAAATGTTCTCTCTAAGTAAGAAATAGCTTGTGGGAAAAGTTTGTTCTAAATAAAATAGAAAAATCAAGTTAGAATTAGTCATGGGAGACAGGGTGTTTAAGAAAATAAGCATGGTCCTCCCTCCTGTATCTAAGCTGAGCAAGGCATCCCTCCACAGGGAATGGGCTCCAAAAAGTCAGTTTATGCATTAGGGATAAATACTGGCTGAAGTGGGATTGGTATGTAAAATAAGATTGCTTTAAAAATAAAATTAAAGAAGAAACATAGGATATTAGTGGCTATAAGACATAAGAAGAAAGCTCCTAGGATTCCAGAATATAGATACCTGTCCAAGGTCATATGGCAGCAAAGAGAGTGACTCTAGGAGGAAAAGATGGTTTGTTTTCTAGTGGAGTTTGGGAATAGAGCATTAGGCAGAAACTTTCCCAGCTCCAACTTCCCCACCTTAGAAAACATAATCTCAGCTGATGAATGAGAACATTAATGAAGATTTATACTCCAACTACTAGTGATTATTCCAAATTTGAGGCTGATTTAGATTCTAGTATTCAGGTACTTCTGTTACGGAAATCTTATGTAGATGCTCATAAGCTCTGTGGGTCACAGGGAACTGGCTTAATATGCACTGTGAGATACTAGCCACAGTTAAAGATCTGATGAGGGCTTGAGAGATGGCTCAGCAGGTAAAGGTATTTGCTGTGTAACACTGACGATCCTAGCTCCATCCCAGGAACCCACAGTGGAAGGGAAGATCAAACCCTGAAAGTTGCTGTCTGACCTCCACCTGTGCCTGTATGTGTATGCATGAACACACACACACACACACACACACACACACACCTTGATGAGAAGGACTCTATGTAAAAAACAAAACAAAAGAAAAACTCAGGCTGGTGAGATGGCTCAGTCGTAAAGGCATGTGTCAATAAAGTTTGACCCCTGATGGCCCTCTAAACATGGACCTACACTCACATCACACACATACACAGTAATAATAATAATAATAATAATGTCTGCCATATCCCACTGTCACATTAGCTAATCCTTAGGACAAAGAACATTCTTTTGTTATGCAGATAATGGTGTTCTCAATGTATTGCAAAAATTGTCCTTTGTACCCACCCTATCCTCAGCATGCTTTGTTCCCCCAAAACCTGACAGACTGAGAAAAAAAGAGATGACAATACTGATTTAATATCAAATCATAAAATAGCTAATTTAATGTCAAATTCCAAAAGAGTTTTGCTAAGCATATAATAAAACACCTTTATCAAAATAAAAAATACAACTACTACCAATTCTTTTATTCATTCATCCACAAGCCAGATGAATATATTTTTCTTTTTCATGGGAGAATTAGCACATAAAATATACCCGTTTGAAGTATCCACTTGATAAGTATTTACTATTACATACCTTTACAAGATATCTTTTCTCAGGGAGCAGCCTAAAAATGATGAGAAAAACATAAGAAATGCTCTACTACCACACAAGAAAAGCACAGCCACCCTGAGTAATAGCACATTCTATCTCTCTGGATTGTATCTAAAGGGCCCTAAGACGTTCCACACAGAAGTTCACAGTTGCATATTTGTAGCTTGTCTCCCAAAGTCTCAGCTTACCTGGATGGGTCTGTGAGACATTACTCTGGGCCTAAGCATGGAACTAAGCATGATCGCACATTATCTCATTCATTCAGAATGGTTAGGCTGGAGAAAGACATGGACCGCTCTGTGAGCACATCATGAGCTCCTTTAGACTCCTAGTCTACCTGTTGTCTGGACCGCTCTCAGATGACCTACCAAGTACAGGATATAATCTACCTACTGAATAATTCTGTAAACTTCCTTATGTTGTTTATATTTGCAATGCCTCTTATTTTTCCTTTGAATACTTACTGACAAGTGTCTTCCAGGTTTGCTGTGGCCATACTCAAGTAAGATCAAATTTATTCTCTTTAAATTATTAATGATAAACAGAATTTAGTTACATACCATGGCCTTTGCTTATTCAGAATAAGAGGCAATTTCAACTCAGTTCTATTTTAGAGTTACGCCAGCCCTTTTCTAGTTCTAGCTATGGCTATTATGTTAGATAACCATGAAAAAATCTTTAATATTTAGATTGACAAGAGAAAAAGATGAGGCAGGAAGATGGTGAGGGAATTTGAAGCCAGCCTGGACAATACAATGAGGTGATAGGCAGTTTGAACAAAACAGCTAATGTCTCAAACAAACAACAAACAAGCAGCAAAAGAACAGCAAACTTACTCCTCAATACTTGGGTCATAGACAGTCTTGATTCGTAGATGCCCATCAGCATCTCTTTTTACAACATGATTTGTCTTGAGATGAACTTTATTTATGACCTAGAAGAATAAATAGTTTGAAAACTCTGTAAAAGGTCAATATGACATCTTTATATAAGTAGAATTTAAATATAATGCATGTTCATTTAACTACCCAAATGAGACCTAAACAAAATTAACAAGCCAAAATTTAAGTGTAATACTCCCCTTTATTTTATATTCTGCGATGTTAGCAGTCCTGAACCCCAAATGTTTCCCAAGCAAATGTTATCATCTGAGAGAGAAGTATTTTGAACTTGAGTGACATGAGTCAATCATTATAGTAACGGCCGCTGCCAAAAGTCTTGGGCTTTGCTAATTCTAGTTTTGCTGACTCCAAGTCTTTAGAAAATGACAAGAGAGGTGGAGCACATTGACTCACACCATTAATCCAAGCCTTGGGAAGCAGGGGCAGGCAATCTCTTGTGAGTTCAAGTACAGTCAGCTATAGAATGATTAGTGATACCTTGTCACAAAAAAGGAAAGAAATGACAGACTAAAAATATAAGCATGTATGTATGTGGGTTCATGTTTGTGTTTATGTGTGTGTGCACACAGGTGCACATACACACATGTGCACATCACTGTGGAGGTAAATGCCCTCCACCTTCACCTTGTATTTTGAGACAGGGTATCTCACAGGCTTGGCTGTTTGACTAGTAAGCTCCAACAATCCCTTTGTCTCTGCTTCCCCAAGGTTAGCGTTATAAGTAGAACTGCTCCATTTGGCTTTTTTTTTTTTTTTTTTTTTTTTCCCCTTTGAGGCAGGGTTTCACTGTGTATTCCCAGCTGTCCTGGAGCTCATTCTGTAGACTTGTAGACTAGGCTGGCCTCAAACTCACAGAGGTCTCTCGAGTGCTGGGATTAAAGGTGTGCGCCACCACTGCCCAGCTCAGTTTGCCTTTTTAACCTGGGCTCTAGGACACCAAACTCAGGCCCTCAAGCTTGAAAGGCAAGTACTTCAGCAAATGGGTCATTACTCCAGCCCTAAAGAACCTTAAGTTACTTTTTAAAAAGTACAAAAACTTCCTACAAGAGAGTGCTTCATTTTATCTTTTCCCTAGCTCTCCTTTACATGACTCTCCCATGCTTAGGATAAATAAAAATTACAAAGGTTTATGGGCTACAGACTTGGCTCAGCAGCTAAGAGCACTGGCTGCTCTTCTAGAGGACACAGGGTTCAATTCCCAGCACCCACATGGCAGCACACAACTATCTGTAATTCTGGTTACAGGGGACCTGACATATATAATAAGCCACATAGAGACTGCAGACTCCAGAACATAAAGTTTAGCATTAACATACATAAGAGGACAGGAGAGCTGCTGGCTTCCAGAAATGGAATGGTAGCTTCTTATACATCATATATTACCAAATTTGGAGGAAATGTTTTAAAAGAATACTACTTGAGGCCAAATGTGGTGGTACATTCCTACAATCCCAGCACTTGGGAAGTGGAGGCAGGTAGAGGCCACCAAGTGCATTCCAAGCCAGGCTGGGCTACATAAGACCCTGATTCTGAAAACAAAACAACAAAAGAATACCATTTGAAGGCACTAGAGGAGGAAAAGGGGCGGCTTGTAAGAATTTACTCTTAAAATAAAAACTAGGAGCTGGAGAGACGCTCAGTGCTATTCTAGAGGACCTGAGTTCAATTCCCAGCACCCACATGGCAGCTCGCAACTGTCTATAACTTCAGTTCCAGTGGATCCAACACCCTCATACAGACAAAACACCAATGCACATAAAATAAGTATTACACAAAAATATGTGTGTATATACATATTCACTCATTCAACACACACACACACACACACACACACACACACACTGAACCTCTGACTTATAAGGCTACTTTCCCCCTGAGAACACTTTCCATTCCGGGTTTGTATAGGAGGCAGACTGCAGAGTCTAACAAGCTTGATGCAGATCTTACAGCACCAGAATTACAGGAGAAAGACAGCCAGAGGGGAAGCCCACAGCGTCCATTACCTAATGAAAACTCACAGTCCTGAGAACAGAAGAGTGTTACCTGTGCTGAGCAAAAAAGAGCAGTGAGCAGCAACCAACCCCACAACCTGAACAGAAACAATTTCAGTAACGAAACTCTCATGTGCTCAAAGGCTTAAAGAGGAATAAGCCCGGCAGGCAGTAACATAAAGAACCAAACAGAAGGGAATGCGGCTTAAACAAACACCAACTAAAATGAAAAGCTCCCTGGAGAGGATAAAAGGCCAGAGCCAGGAGTGATGCTGCACATCTATAACCCCAGCATTCTGGAACGGCAGGCGCCTCTGGGAGTTCAGGCCAGCCTGAGCTACACAGCAAGGTCTAACCAATCTGATACAGTTTTAAAGAAAGAAGTCTGGAGACAACAAAAACATCAGATAGTGTTTAGAGATATTATTCAACATCACTTAGAAGCCAGCTTGGGCAACATAGCAAGTGCCAAGTTAGACCGTGTTACCGAAAGAGACCCTGTCTCAATAAAATAAGTAAAATAATCCATCTGAAATACAATGTTATGATAAAACTAGAACCCTGAATGTGGGTACACGGTGTCTGAAATAGGGGCAGGCTTATCAGGAGATCACCAACATCCTCCAATTCATGGCTAGCCTGGGCTGTATGATATGAGACCCTGTCTTAAAAAAGAAAACAACGCAAAGCAAAAAGTCCTAACACAACCACTTAACCTTCCTAACATTCTGGCTCACGTAGTTAAACAACATGCACACAACTTCTTGGAAATTACCACAAAATGAGTAGGCTGAGATTTCTGGGCTGAAATATTTTTTCTAGGTAAAGCTAAAGCTTTCTAGGTACAAGCTAAACGCTGATCACATCACGCAGCCCCCGTTCAAGTACCCTGTTTACTCACAGAATAGTAGTAACTATGGGGCTGCCTCCGAGTGAAGGGCTCGGTACAACACAAATGTTATCTCAAGGAACTTTAGGACTAAATTACACTGAGCTAAGTGTAACCAGAGTAGAACCTGGTTAAGCGCCAGAATACAGGACAGATAAGGAGTTGTGTGGAACTGGAAAGAACGCTCTCCTGGGCTGGTTTGGTTAGGCAGACCTGAGGTTGAAACATTAACAAGACTAAAGGAACTTAGACTGGGAGAGAAACGGATGGAAGGAGGAACGGATTTGGCTGGGCTAGGGAGATGGGATAAAGGCAGCAAAGTGATAATAACTAGAAAACAAATACTGAACTTTGTCTCTCGGTAGCCCTCCAACAGCCAGCTCTGTCTGGTTCTTCCGTAAGCTGCTTCCCAAGTCTTCAGATTAGTGGTTACCGGTGTGGTGCTCGGGTGAGCAGCATCACTTTCTAGGAATCTGAATTGTGAGGACCCATGCCAGATCTCCTGAGTCAGAAAGTGAGGGATAGGGCAGCAATCTGTTTTAACAAGTGCTTCTGTTATTCTGGTGCTCGCCCAAGTTTGTGGGGCTACTGGCTAAGAGGAATGGGCGGGGGACAAGCGCCTAACTCAGGCGCTCTGCGGGAGCAGGGGCCGACAGCGGAGCGGGAGCTGGCTTTCTCCCGCAGAGCACCTGCAGCCGGAAGCCCGGACGCCACACCCTCGGCGTTACTGCAGCACTCCCTCGCCCGGCCCGCTCGCACCCCGCTTCGCCCTACCTCAGTGTCAGAAGGGACGTGATGCCGACACGGAGGCGAAGTGCTCAGGGATATGGGAGCAGCCGCGGCGCCGGCCGGGAGCCCGCCCAGCACGAGCAGGACGCCTCGCACCCACAGGGAGCCGCCCCAGCGGCCCCGCGGCCCTGCTCCCACGCCGCCCGCTCCTCCAGCCCCAGCGGCCGCCATCTTCGGGCCGGCGTCGTTACCATGGAGTGCGACGCCTGGCTGCCTCCGCCCGCCCTCGCCGAGGACAGGTGGCGGGCCCTCAGCCGCCTCGCCATTGGCCGGCATCACGCCGGGTCCGGCGGAGGACGAGGGCAGCGGCGTCCGCGCGAGCGTCGAGCTGACCAATGAACGCCGCCGGGCAGCCCACGTGACCCGAGCTGTGGGAACCCCGGGCCAGCGGGGATTAGTGCGGAGCGGACGGGCGTGGGGGCGGTGTCCTCGGAAGCCGCTTGTCCTACTTCATTCACTAGAGGCGACCCGCCAGCTGCCGGACGCGGACTAACAGTTTACTACAGTCCCGTGAACCAGTTCCCTTTCCAGTCGTTGTAACCCCATCGCTTAACCAAACGCCAAAGCTGCCCATACAACCCACTAAGGGGTTCGGGATTCGTGAGGCAGCCTGTCTACCCAGTATTAACCCAGGAAAAGTTGGGTACCTTTGTACAACTCACTTAAATGGCATATATAAATCCTGTCTTAAAGGAGGTTCAACTCTACTTAGCTCAAATGCCCAATTCTCACCAACTCCTCCATATTACCTAGTCCACTATTTATCGCCAACAGCGCCACCCACCTCAACTCTTGTTCATTTAAAATAACAAGATCCCCAACCTTGTAAACATTACGCAGCCATCAAAGCCGAATCATTGAAACCTTCACAACCAAATGCCTTTAAAGTGAAAATAACATTTGAAGGGCTAAATCAGCGTTTATGGAACGCTGACCTCAGATCAGAGGGCTGCCAAGATAATCCATACAGAGTAACCTTTTCACACCTGATAATTTCCATACACCTACAATGGGGGGAAAAAACCGAAAACCTATTGTGGCCTTCCATTCACCCAAGCCATAAATTTGAAAGGCTCTGTTCAAGCTGCTTCCCAGGAACTTTTGAGTTGCCGACCACTTTTTCATTGACACAGGGTTTCTCTGTTGTGTAGTTTTGGAGCCTGTTGTGGAACTACACTAGGCTGGCCTGTCTATTAGTCTAGTTCCTGGGATTAAAGGCATGCACCACTACTGCCTGGCTCTGCTGACACCTTAACTGAGTCACAAACACAAATTGCTGTGTTGCCTTTTTGGAAAAATAATTTCCATTTGAGGTAATCCCAAGATTGGCACTTTCTACCCTTGAAACCTGGATTTCTCCAATGTGACCCCTTTAGGGATTCAGTGAGCTAACCTACATTTCCGATCTGACAGAGAACACAGCAAATTGCTGCTCTTGTTACTAACTCTGGAGACCACACTTCCAACCAGTACTTACGGAATGCCAACTTGAGCTTGACCTAACCAGGCTTTGCCCCACCTTGGTCTTGGCTCATTTATTTAATGTGGGAAGACAATTCAAAACACTTTTCATAAAGTGTATATTAGCTTTGGACCTTGTAGACATTTACAATCCAGTCTAAAAACTGCTTAATAAAAAGGACTTGCTAGCAATTAAAAACCACACAAGGTGAAGATGCCTTCCTATTTCTAACACATCATCTAAGTACAAGTATTTGCCCGGTGTTGGTGTCGCACACCTTTAGTCCCACGCAGAGGCAGGCAGTCTAGTCTACAAGAGCTAGTTCCAACACAGGCTCCAAAAACAACAGTCTCGAAACTGCCCCCCTCTCAAAACAAGCAGTACAAGTATTTCAGAGCCCTGCTTATTACTCTTTTGTATATGTGTTATCAATCCTGCACTGTGCTTTAAAATCCAGGATAGCCATTTTCAAGGGCTTTTCCAAAGTTACACTAAAAAATGTAATGCATATTTACTCCCACTCAACCAACCCAAATTAATCCTCCAGTTTACCCAAATGAGGCAACAAACACCAAGAGAAGTGCCATTCAAGTTCTCCTCTTTGCACTGAACATGTATTTCCCCCGTCCACCACAGAACCTCACCTCACACACCTAAACCCAGGGCATGCCAAGTTTCACTGAGCTCTATCCCAGGCATAAGATGATTCAACACTTCCTTCACTTAAACCCAGAGCTGATATCATCTTCCCAAAGCTTATTCACCCACCCACTATGGCTAGTATTAGAGTACATAGAACTTTGAGACAGACTCTCAGTATAGTGCTGGCTGGCCTCAAATATTCCATCATAGGCATTTAAAGGTGTACACAACCCAACAAAACTGTGTAGCCTTGGCTGCCCCTGCATCCCTACAGTCCCTTCTGCTGGGACTAAAGTTGTGCACTACCACCACCTAGTGACAAGGGATCTTTTAAACATGCCCATGTGTCCAATACTGACAATTATATAGAATTTCCTTGCGCTCTAAAAATACTGGACAACTTCTATCACCTTAAACATAGGGAATCTTTTAGGACAGTTCTAGTGAAAAAAAATACAAGAGCACAAATGCACTTTTATTTGTTTACTGTTCATTAGTTTAAATTCTGGAAGGGTACAGCATCTGGAGAAAAAGAAAAACACAAAAAAACATTAGGTGAATGATACAAACTTACAAATCACTGGATACACAATAAGGATAAATATCCTGATATTAAGTTTAATTTGTACAGCACTTGGCCTTTAGGAAACATGCTTAAGCACTAACACTTTGTATATATACATGATCATCTAATTGTGACATTCATTTTCAACAGCTTTTCACCTTGTTTTGAGATAGAGAGGTCTCACATTGAGTGAACTTTAAAAGAGTTCATTGGCTGTCCCATAAACACCAAGGATCCTTCTCCCCAGTGCTATAGCTTCAGACACACTGCTGTGCCTGAATTTTTTATGTGGCTTCTGGGGAAAGAACTTAGGACTTCATTTTGTACAGCAAGCTTTTGCCAACTGAGCCCAAGAACCAGCATCCCTCCACCCCATACTTAGTAAGCACAAGGCATTATGAATTCTAACTATAATCGGGCCCAGAGCCTGATTTTATAACCCCCAGCCCCAAAACAGTAACAAAACTTTTAAGGGATGGTCAATGGCTCAGCTAGTACAGGAAATTGACACTAAGACTGGAACTGCCTTAGAAGAGCTGACTCCCAAAAACTAATTGGCTTTCACATACCAGTATTGCATGTATGACCACATACACAAACATAAATGTAAAATAACAGCCCTGAAACATAGTATTAGAGTCAGATATAGTGGCTTTTTTGTTTTTGTTATTTAAGACAGAGTTTCGGTGTAACATCCCCGGTTGTCCTGTAACAACCTTGCTCTGTAGACCAGGCTGGCTTTGAACTAGAGATCGGCCTGCCTCTTGCCTCACTAGGGGTGGGATTAAAGGTGTGAACCACCACTGCCTTGCCAAATCCCATCATTTTACATCTAAGACTAGTGTCCAAGTCCTGAGACCTAGAATGAGCATATTTTCCCATATTCTGGTAGTACTGACATACATGATACACATGGCAAAATGTTATAATATCCCTCCCACCCACCCAGCCCCAACATATATAAGACCAGCCTGGACAACTCAGCGAGACCCTGTCTCAAATAAAATAAAGACTAGCCTTGTCCATGTAACAAGTCTCAGGCCAACCAGAGCTACGAAAACTGGCCCAAGATATTTCTCCTGGCTGTTAGCTTTAGCAAAATCTGAAACTCATGTAATTCATCTGTGCTCCTGCTTTCACCCGGCTTCACTCCAGCAACCAACGGACGTTCTATACAACTTAAACCACCAATTCAGTTTTACACACACAAAAACCTTTAGAGGTCGGGCCTTGGTGGCACACAAGTTTAGTCCCAGCACTTGAGTGGCACACGGATCTCTGTGAGTTCCAGGCCAGCCTGGAACTACTAACTACAGTTAGTTCCAGGACAGCCTCCACAGCAATACAGACAAACCCTGTCTCAGAAAAACCAAACCAAACCAAACCTTTAGAGGTAAGCCTACCCTTGAATTGATTTTGATGAAAAGAGCCATTTATTTTGCTGTTTGTACTAAGTACTTACCACACGGATTCTGTGTCCAATGGCCTTTGCAGGAAGGTTGCTTCGGAATTTGGCACGAACCATGCCACTGTTTCCATGAGCTCGAGTTACTTTCCCCCAGATCACTCTGGTTTTGTTTGGTTTGCCTCCAGGTGTCACCGTGTTGCTGGTTTTGAAAGGATACAAGAAGCAGGAGAGCTCAGTACTAACATAACATGACACAAATTCAGTTATTTTCTAGGACCCAGCTGTCACCTCTAGTTTCCCACAAAGAACCCTTTAGGAAGTTGGAATATATAGAATATTTTCATTTAACAGTTCCTATGTGCCAAACAGATTTTATAAGATTATGACCACTAAAGGCACAAACACCTACAAGTGCTAAAAACATGAAGTTAGGAAAGACACAGGGATGAAGTCCACTTGAGATAAAAGGAAAGAAAAAAATGGAGACTTGGATGCACTAGTTATAAGAAGACTGAGTACAGTTGAATGAAATGAACCCGATACCCTGGAACTCAGAGGCACACCTCCACTCTCCCTCCCAAATGCTGGGATTAGAGAGGCATGCTTCACTGGGGTGTGAACATGACCTTACTAACACGTGTAAGGCCTTATGATCAATTCCCAGAAGGAAAAGAGGAACAAAAGAGCCAACGTTGTGTCCACCCACCTTAAGACACACACTGAAAAATATCACAAGGAATGAAAATGGATCAAGATACACTGAAAAGTATTCTGTCAGGTGTTTGAGGGAGGGGGAAGCCTTAACTTTTCTAACCATGTCAGAGACTGAGGTCAGGGTCTTTCTACAACTGTAATTTTTCTAAAAGTCAATGCTGCCTACATCCACTACCACCGACAAAATGATTCTTTTATAACTTCATATCAAGTTCCTCCTCACGGCTTGTAAGTAGAATCCAGAACAGCAGCCTGCAGCCTTCACTAACACCTCTACTTTTTCAGTAGAAAAACTGAGGGGGGCATCAATCACAAATCAAAAGACATCAAAGCACACTTACTTTTTTGCTTTATACACATAAGCACATCTCTTGCCCAAGTAGAATTCAGTTTCATCTCGGGCATAAACACCTTCAATTTTAAGAAGAGCTGTGTGCTCTCGCTGGTTCCGGAGACCTCGCTTATAGCCAGCAAAAATGGCCTTGCACCACAGCCTAAGACACACAAAAAAGACATTATGAATAACATTTACAACTTTTCACTTAACTTTTAATAAACTATCATGACTTGTTTCGAATTAAGCCCTACACAAGCTATGTAAAGCAAACACCTTGTTCCCCTCCCGCATTATTTTAAACCTGGGTTTTACATTTAAGCTTTTTTGTTTTAAGGAAAAAATGAATCGCATACCTTCCAGACATATTTGCCTTTTAGAAGTCCTGTTCCCAGCAGGCCTGAAAACAAGCAAGATCTCCAATTAGAGCCACGAAGCACGTTTCCAACCTGTCAACTCCTTTGAGCACGCTGGGCGAATTCAGTAGCATTTCAAGTATTGGGAATACTTAACTCTGCCACACCCTCTACAGAAGTAAAGCCTGGCAAAATACTCAAGACTTATGAGAGTGAATGACAACTCACTACTCCGAAACGCGGACAACAGCTAGGTGTGGGGGAGAGTGAATGAAGGTCTAACTTCCAGAAACCCTGTAAGGAACCCGGGGGCGAACTCTGCAGAGTGCACAGGTAACAGACACAAGGTCCAGCTCGGGGACAGTAGCTTCTAGGGGTCACCGCTTCCCGGGCAAGCAGGACGGACGAAATGCACCCTCCGGAGCCCGAGGGCCAAGCGGGACCAGAGAACTTTCCTCCCCACGACCGGGGGCCTCAACACTATCGGTCCCTCATCTCCTCCATCCCGCCCTCCCCCTTCCTGGAATCCCCAGAAATCGACGGCGAGCAGGGTCCCCGAGATGCAGGGGCGTCTCGGTGAGCGATGTAGACAAACCCACCCCAGCAATCTGACCCCAAAGTTCAGCAGCAGCAACACCCCTCACCTCCACAGGCGCCAAGATGGCGGAAAGAGGAAAGCAAGGCCCGCCGCGCGGCCTTGTGGGATGCACGCCCCGCCCCTCCCGGCGCTTAGGCGGCCTGCACTCCGCCGGAGAGCAAGGGTCAGGGAGACGCTCGACTCAGCCAAGCCACGCTCAGGAACTTTACTTTCTTTTCCTCTTCTTTCATCTTTGTAAGCGGCGACACACAGTACTTAGGGATAGGAAAAGGCAAAATTGTAGTCGACTAAGGAAAAGGCACAGGTCCTACCAAAAAAAAGGGGGGGGGGCCTGCCCGTTGCCATAGCTACGCCGTAGTTTGTGTCCCGCCTCCTACCAGGCTGCTGGAAAGGTGAGGAAAAGAAGTGGTTCCCCCCCCCCCCCTTTCCTAGTTTGGAGACTGGGATCCTACCGCAGAGGGTAGAAAAACCTGGAGCACGAAGGCAGGGGAAATGCTCCCTTCTCTTCGCTCTTTCCTTTCTCTTATCTAAGCCTTTATCTTTCAAGAAACAAACAGGGCATGGTGATTCCTGCCTGTTAATCTCAGCACTCACTTCTGAGCCTGAGGTATCACATCACAAATTGGAGGCCATACTAAGTTAGATAGCAAAGTCCCATTTTAAGCTGCAACAACAGAGGAGGCAAACCACGGGTCGCGGAGATTGTTTGTAATCCGAGTATTGTGGTAATCCGAGTATTGTGGATGCACAAACAGGAGAATGGTTCAAAGGCCATCGTCTGCCACACAGGGGCTGCTAGTCAGCCTGAGCTACGTGAGACCCTTCTTAAAAGGGGGAGTGGGATTAGGGAAAATGAGAGATAGATATATTCATTCCTCCATTGCCTGACTTGTCAGGTGAGGCTGAATCTAGCAGACTCGGGTTCACATTTCCTAACGACTGTGCATTCACTGGGGCTGACTGATGGATTCATTCATTTATTCAGCAAGTAATTTACTGCATGACTTCCACTACGGAGAATGGCTTAAGGGCTTTGTACTAAACAAAAACTTCTCCCTCTTGTAGCCTACATGGAGGGCAGGCTGGGCACTTTGGTTCTTGTGGCTGTAGTCCCTGAACTTGGAAGGCTGAAGTATGAAGATTGCTTTATGTTTCAGGACAGTCAGAGGCTCATACTATGTACAAGGATATCCTTGGCTACAGAGTAAGACCCTCCATTTCACTCCTGCCCCCCACCAAAAACAAAAAGCAAAAACAAAAAAAACTGAGAAAACAAGCAGATAGAACATGAGGCATGTTAGGTGATAACTTCCTTTAAAAAGCAAGCAAACAAACAAACAAACAAACAAACCGTTTATGAAGATCAGTGGTGGTGGTACAGGCCTTCCTCTAATCCCAGCACTTGGGAGGCAGATCTCTGTGAATTCAAAGCCAGCCTGATCTACAGAGCCAGTTCCAAGACAACCAAGGGCTGCACAGAGAAACCCTGTCTCCAAAATCCAAACCAAACCAAAACACTGTTTATGTACACATGTGTATGTTGTCACTTGTATGTAGGTGTTTTCAGGGTAAGAGAGAGCTGCAGATCCCTGGAGCTGGATTCATATGCTTGCTTTCTTTCTTTTCTTTTCTTCTTCATCTTTTTTTTTTGGGGGGGGGGATTAGGCTGAAGAGATAGATGTCTCAATACTTAAGAGCACATATTGTTTTTAGAGAGGTCTTGGGTTCGATTCTCAGCATCTATATCACGTGGCTCACAACTGCCAGTAACTGCAGTTCTAGGAAATCATCTGGTCTTCTGTATGTCCATGATGCACATAGAGCCACACAGGCGCATACACAAAAGCAAAAAAAAAAAAAAATAAAATAAAATAAAAAAGCATGAACAATAAAGACAAGGTCTCATGTAGCTTACCAAATTCCCTATGTTAAGCCAAGGATGACCTTGAACTCCTGATTTCCCCCTCCCCTCCACTTTCCAAGTACTGGGATTACAGACTTTTGCCAACATACCCAGCTCTGAAGGATAATAACTTACTAAACCGATTTCCAGAGTTAATATGGTCTTTCTGAGGCTGCAGAGATGGCTCAGCAGTTAAGAGCACTGACTGCCCTTCCAGAGGACTTGGGTTCAATTCCCAGTACCCACATATGGCAGCTCACAACTGTCTGTAACTCTGGTTGCAGGAGGGATCTGACATCCTCACACAGACACACATGCAGGCAAAATACCAATGCGAATAAAAATTAATCTTTAAAACAATTTCCAAATGTAATATCAGTTGTTCTGAGACAAGGTACAATAAATTCTGTTATCTGACAGGACAAGGTAGATTCATTTAATTCAATATAAAGAAGAGAATAATAGAAAAATTAAACAATAACAAAATCCAAATAAGAATTCAAATTCAGAATACAATGACACATACTAAAATTGTCCTCAAATTACCTTCAGAAGAGGCAAAAGGCTGTGTTGCATGGATCTCCTGTTTGGTAGACCAGTAATGAAGGCAAGTGCTAAATAAGCCTCACCCTGTGAGTCTGCTCTACTAAGGAGAAGGGGATGAACCACAGCTCTTGTAATTCTGTGATTTTTTTTTTTATTTTCTCCTAGTAAAAAAGTTTAGAAAAAAGAAAACAGGATGGAGCATTCTCTTGAACTAATAGCATTTCTTTCCCATTTTAGCTTGTGAAATTATAAATCTACCCCAGAGGACAACAGAAGTAGCTCAGGAAGAATGGAAGGGTATGTTTTAATTCCATTTTGTTTGTACACACAGTATTGCATTATATGTAATAAACAAATTCTGTGGATTATTATCTGTCTCCATGTCACACACTGCTGTTGTCGAATATTACTTTAACTGTGTAAAGGTGTGTTACTTTTGTTTATGCTGCATTTGCTTAATTATCTAAAGATGTCTTGCGTTTGTTTTACCTTGCTTGTTTAAGGCACCTGACTGGTCTAATAAAGAGCTGAACCGCCAGTAGTTAGACTGTGAAAGGATAGGCAGGGCTGCCAGGTAGAGAGAACAAACGGAAAAATCTAGGCTTGAGAGAGAAGAACTGAGACAACGAGGGAGAAAGAGAGGGACACTCTCAGGGCCAGAAGCCAGGCAGCTGCCAGTCAGACAGGAGAAGGTGAAAGTAAGATCTACAGGAGGAAGGTAAAAAGCCCCTAGACGAAACATAGATGAAGAGAAACAGGTTAATCTAAGTTTAAAAAGTTAGCAAGAAATGAGCTCAGGCTAGGCTGAGCATTCATAACTAATAAGAAGTCTCTGTGTTGTGATCTGGGAGCTGGTTGGTGGCCCAAAAGAAAAAGCCTGGTACAAACTCCCCCAAATGTAATGACCTAGACTATAAAGGTCTGCCATCTTGGAGTTCCTGCGGGTTGGGAGTCAGGAACAGCTTAGCAAATGTCTCTGGTTGGGGGTCTGTGCTAGTTGGTTCTCCCAACGCTGTAAGAAAAGAATGGACAAGAAGCGGTTTAAGGGGAGAAGTGAAAAGCTTTGTTTGGCTAACACTTGCAGGGAGAGTCTGTTATGGAGGGGAAGGCATGGCATCAAGAGCAGAAGGGACTGGTCACATGGCATTGGCATCCACAGTCAGGAGGTGGGGAGGGGGGAGGGCGATGGAGAGAGAGAGAGAAGGAGAGACAGAGAGAGGCAGAGAGGGAGAGAGATGAGTGCTGAGGCTCACCTCAGTTTCTTCTTTTTTATTCAGTCTATTTAAAAGAAAAATTGATTGATGTTTTGCCATGGGTCTTGGGTCCCCCAAAACTGAAATTACAGACAGTTGTTAGCTGCCATGTGGGTGCTGAGAATTAAACCCGGGTCCTCTAGAAGAGTGGCCAGTGTCCTTAACCTCTGAGCCATGTCTCCAGCTCCTAACCAGCTCATTTAAGGTGAGTCTCCCCATCTCAAGTAACCCTGTCCTAGAAAATCCTCCAAAGCCATGTCCAGATCCAGTCAAGTTGACAATATTAGCCAGGAGGTTGGAGTAGACGGGCAGACAAGACACACTGCTCCCAGGGGTGAGCTTTGCAGTGAGTGAGAACGAAGCTGCTATGTTATTTACCTCTTGCTGTGGAGACCACGCTCTTCCTCTGGCTCAGTGTGGGGAAAACCACACACAGGCACAAACACCAGAAAGAGTTACTGGGGCCACCTTGGTGGCTGGCTACTATAGCCTGTCTTTTAGTGGCCAGGAAGCACATTTGATTAGCATCTAAACATGGTGCTTTCAGATCAAGTTAACTGTGGTTCACATTCAGTTGCATTAGCATAGCCAGGAAACACAGACTGCATGGCTTTACCGGCAGTACACTGTCTTCGGTTGGTCCTACTGGAGGGTGTTTTGCAGCATCCCCTGCCTTTGTTTATCTGGAGGTTGGGTTATATGACAACGTGAACCTCACAGGAGTCAATCTACATGCCACCCATGTTTTTGAGGCTAAGTAATATTTCTTCATTGGCCGCTGACTAGATCTTTCTTTTCGCCTGGCCTTAGGGACCAGTTGGAATCCTTGGACCTCTCTTCAGAAGCTTTGCATGCTGAGGTGACCATGGTGGTGACAGGAGAACCACCTAGTGCTATAGAAGAAGAAGTAGATGATGAAGAAGAGGAAGAAACCTCCTCAGAAGTCATAGATTTACTGTCCCTTCTAGATGTGCTGAGGGTCTCTGCCATTATGGAGGACATCATCGACCAGCTTTCCATTCTAGGCTACATCATTCCAGTCCAATATGAAAGGAGGCAGAGTGTCAGCCAGGTCAGCATCTTCACCACCATCCCTGCCGTCTTGATTTCTTTCCTGCTGACGTCTCCAGTATGTGTACTACTTGTATCATTAGACTTAGCTTGGGAAGTCACACCTTTATGGTGGATAAAAGGCTGCATCGCAGTTATCTGAGGTCCATGCTCTAAACGGAACGAGTGGCATATAGCCCAGTGTGCTTTTGCAATATATTGGCTTTAGTCCAAAGCTAAGTCTGTGTAAATACAGCAGAAAGCCTTCAGTGTACACAGATTCTGGGTCTCTGAATTCAACCAATCTCTGACAAAAAATATTTGGAAAAAATTTGGTCTCTACTGGATATGTTAGGCACCCCCCAACACCACAACACCATTCCTAAACAATTCAATATAACAACTATTGTACATTGTATTCACCATTATAGGAAATCTGAAGCCTATTTAAAAAGAGAACATTTGCTTAGACTGTATGCTAACATTGCACCAGCTTTATTTAAGGGGTATCCAGGGGTGCCCCGTAACCTATCCTATGGGTGTCATGGGGCCACTGAGCATTTACTGAGATCACAGCTTAAGTTTTCTGAGATCAGATGCCCCACTACCTTGTATGTCTTGGTTGCTAAAAGCCAACTGGACACTAGCAGGAAGGAAATGCGTCTGGACCCTGTCAGCATTGCTTTGATCAACTCTGTTGTTGCTGCTGAATGTATTGCACCCTGCTTTTGCAAGTATCTGGGCACATTCCCACATCAGCAGTTATATTTTCAATGGTGACACAGACTTCTGGGCCCCACTGAGCTCATGTCTGTAATCTTAGCACTGGCAAAGATCAGAAGACTGCAGGGTTTGAGGCCAGCCTGCTCTACATAGAAAGTTCCAGGACAGGTCGGTGAGATGGCTCAGTGGGGAAAGGTATTTGGCATGACTTATGATCTGAGTTGAACCCTGAGACCCATCATTGAAAGAAAGACCTGATTTCCATAAGTTGTCCTCTGGCTTCCAAACCTACTCTGGCCACATGTCCACCCCACTCCAAATACAAAGCAAATATTATTTTTGAAAAATATTTTTAAGTGTATGGGTGTTTTGTCTGAATGTATGGATGTTTACCACATACATGCCTGGTTCCCAAGGAAGCCAGAAGAGGGCTATGAATCCTTTAGAACTGGAGTTACAGATGGTTGCAAGATGAAATGTGGGTGCTGGGAACTGAACCTGGGTCCTCTACTACAACAGCAAGTGCTTTTAATCTCTGAGCCATCACTCCAGTCCCATAAACGTAGTTTTAAAAACACATTTTTGCCAGGTAGTGGTGGTGCACGACTTTAATCCCAGGACTTGGGAAGCAAAGACAGGTGATTGTCTGAATTCAAGGGAGCCTGATCTATGGAGTGAGTTCCAGGATAGTCAGGGCTAATCAGCAAAAACCTGACTTAGAAACACACACACACACACACACACTTTTTTGTAGTTTGTTTTTTGAGACAGTAGCTCTGTAGATCAGGCTGGCCTCAAACTCATAAAGAACCGCCTGCCTCTGCCTCCCGAGTGCTGGGACTAAAGGCATGTGCCACTAATGCAATTATTTTTAATTGTGTGTGGCGTGTGTGTGCATGTGAATCTACCACATGCTTTGTATGCTAGGAGTCAAATTCTGGTCCTCTGCAAGAGCAATTTATGCTCTGAACTGCTAAAATCATCTCTAGCCCTCATTGTATGTATGTCTCTCTCTCTCTCTCTCTCTCTCTCTCTCTGTGTGTGTGTGTGTGTGTGTGTGTATGTGTGTATAACCATCAGGATCTGAACTACATCACTAAATCTTGATACCAACTTTCACTTTTTAGTACAGTTCTCCTTTTATTTTGTATAGTTTTTAATTATTTTGTTGTTTGTCTCACTGTGTTGTCCAGTGAGTTCTTTTATGAATCTACTCAGCTTCCTAGTACCCATGACCACAGGTGCATGCCACCACATTGTCAATGTAGTTCAGATCCATGTGTCTATAAACATTGAGTTTCTGATGTACCCTAGGCATTGTGCTAAGCAATGAGCATATTTATTTATTTATTTTTAGGATTTCTTTATTATGTATACAGTGTTCTGTCTGCATGTTTGCCTGCAGGCCAGAAGAGGGCACCAGATCTCATTACAGATGGTTGTGAGCTACCATGTAGTTGGTGGGAATTGAACTGAAGGCCTCTGGAGCAGCCAGTACTCTTAACTGCTGAGCCATCTCTCCAGCCCCTAAAACAGCATCTTTAATGCCATTTATTTTTAGAAAACCAGCCATGAAGGAACATCTATGGTCTCAAGCACAAGGAAATTATCTGCTTCTTTGTCAAGTAAGGAAAAATCCACAGTGTCAGAAATCAAACAACGAGGCCAAGACTTCTTAAAGAAGCCTACAAGGCAGACAGTGATGACCCTGGAGATCCTGAAGAAAATTCAGAATGACAGGTAAGAAGGAGAACAGATTTGGGGAGGTAATGATACCAGCCAGCAGATGTGAAAGGGGACAACTGCTTCTGTGAAGGTCCCAGAAGTAGAGTGGTACAGTTTAAAACATGGTCAGCCTGGTCTACAGAGTGAGTTCCAGGACAGCCAGGGCTACACAGAGAAACTCTGGGCAGTGATGGCACATGACTTTGATCCCAGCACTCAGGAGGCAGAGGCAGGTAGATCTCTATGAGTTCTAGGACAGCCTGATCTACAGAGTGAGTTCCAGGACTGGCTCCATAGCTACTGAGAAACCCTGTCTCAAATAAAACAAAACAAAAAACGAACAAGCACCCCCCCAAAAAAAAAAAAAAACCAATCCATAGTGCTGTGTTATCTTTAACAAGTGAATGAGTGTTTGTTTCTTCCTCCTCCCTCCCTCCCTTCCTCCCTGTCTCCCTCCCTCCCTTCCTCCCTGTCTCCCTCCCTCCCTGTCTACCTCCCTCCTTCCTTTTTCCCATTTTTTCTTTCTCTGAGTCTCTAGTCTCAAGTGGTCTGAACTCACTGTGTAGACCAGTTTGGCCTAAAACTTCTGAAGCTCTTGCTTTGTCTCTTGAGTGCTAGGCTTTCAGGTCTGCACCACCACATCCTATTTTAGTTTATAACTTTTTTGTTGTTGTTTTTTGTTTGTTTGTTTGTTTTTTATTTTGTTTTCAGTTTTGTTTTTTCCAGACATCATTTCTCTGTGTAGCTCTGGCTGTCCTGGAACTATCTCTGGAGACCATGCTGACAGTCTGGCTTTGAACTCACAGAGATCTATTTGCCTGTCTCTGCCTCCCGAGTGCTGGATTAAAGGCGTGTGCCACTATGGCCTGGAAGAAACTTTTTTCTTAATAGAGCTATTATGTTAAATCTTTTTGTATGAACTACTGTTAATAAGTGTAAAATGATAAATATGATAAACTTTTCCAATTCTGTATCATTACAAATTTTAAAAAATTTAGATTAATTGGTGTGTGTGTGTGTGTGTGTGTGTGTGTGTGTGTGTGTGTGTGTATGAGTCTTGCCTGGATATAGGTATTTGGACTATGTGTATGCCTTGTGCCCGGCTGTGAGCTGCCATATAGATGCTGGGAACCAAACCTGGGTCCTCTGCAAAAGCAGCCAGTGCTTCTCCAGCCTCCGGCTTTCTTCTTTTGTGGTCTGTCATGGAGGACAACATTCCACAATGTCTCACTCTCACTCCACCCTTCTCTTCTGAGATGTTCCCATAGCTTGGGAAGGAGTAGAAGAGGTACCCACCTAGGACTGAGTGCCCAGCAGCCACATCTCTGCACTTTGGTCAGTTAGGAGTCTCTGCATTAACAGCTGCCCTCTGCAACAAGAAGCTATAGTAGCACTTATCTGTGGACATCAACAGAAATAGCTGGAAGGCAGTGTGGCAAACATGTCAACTTCCTATTTTTTCCTTTTCTTTTTTGATTGTGATGTGCTCATATATAACCATTTTTTGCATGTGTATACATGTGTAGGTACATGTATACATATGTGTGTGTGCACATCTAGAGGCCTGGGATTGATGTCAAGGAGTCAACGTCATACACTTTTCTACTTTATTCATTGAGGCAGTCTTTCAGTAAAACCTAGAACTCTGTTAAACTAGCCAACTTGCTCCAGAGGGTCCCCTGCCTCCTTTCTTCCAAGCTCTGGGATTATAAGTAGGTTGCCACACCCACCCTGCATTTACATGGGTTCCAGGGATCTGAACTTTAGTCTCAGTCACTTGCATAGCAAGTACTTTATCTATTGAGCCATCTCCCCAGCCCCCATTTCTTCTTTGGCACAAGATCTCTGTAGCCTAGGCTGACCCCAAAGCTGCTATTTAGTCCAGGGTGGCCTTGAACTATGGCGGTCCTTCAGACTTCCAAAGCTGGGATTATTGGTGTGAGTCAACACGTCCGCCCCCTTCCAGATTTTAACTGGTATGACTTCTGCAACTCTTTATGAAGGTGGGGCAGTTGTCTTATAAGTGTGTTTGTTCCTCTTTGCAGGCAATATTTCAGTGATGTGATCGCAAATGCCATGAAGGAGATGCAAGAGTCTGGCTCATTCAAGAGTCTCCTGGAAGCCTTGGGCAGAGAAAGAGACAACAAAATGAATTTCCATGATGTCATCACAAGGTCAGGGTGGTGATGGATTTGTCTGCTTTGAGACTCTCTCTTTAGATGTCCTCTTGCCATGCTACTTAGGCAGTGCTTAGACCCTTTGAGTTCCTCCTGCCTCAAAGTAGCTGGGACTACAGGCATCTGTGAAATAGCCTGCTCTGCTTTGCAGTATCTCTTTTCTCACATGTATGTGGTATGCATGTTGTGTGCATGCATGCTTGCTTGTGTGGAGACACATGTATGTATGTATGTGGGTGCATGTATATGTGTGTGTAGGCCTGAGGTTGACACTGGAGTCTTTCTCAAATGTTTCCCACCTTATTCTTTGAGGCAGAAATCTCTCAACTGAACCTAGAGCCCATCTATATAGCTAGTCTGGCTATCTAGCTTGCTCCAGGGATACCCTATGTCTGCATTCAGAGTGCCAGAATTACCCTACAGTGGGTTACAGTTGGATGCTACTGCTCTTGCCTTTGAGTGGGTTCTGGGTCTCCAAACTCAGGACCACACTTCATGGCCTGCACTTTACCCACTGAGCCACCTCTCTTGGCCCTGCTTTGCAGTATTGTAAGGTGGTATAAAACTCTAACCAGATGTCCTTGATCAAACATCAAACATGTACTTTCTAGATACCATTGGAAGGCAGACCACTGAGTTCTGAGCTCCTGAATATTCCTAACCTAGAGGGAGCAATCATTCGGAGGTGGGAGACTCAGTTAGTTGAATTCACACTACTGTTACTGTTGCTAGGTATGTGGTACAGGCTTGTAATCTCAGATGCTCTAGAAACCGAGGGAGAGGGATTGCAAGTTAGAGGCCAGCATGGCTAAGTTAACTGGGAGAGTGAGTGTCTGGCACACAGAGCCCCTGGGTCAACCTCTTGTACTGCGATAACAGCAGAGATCTGCTCCTCTGCTCAAGATGGAGCAGACTGAAACCTGGTCAATGTCCTAGATGTGGTATAGCTGTCAGGGAGCATTTCTGTAAATACACAGGCTCTGAGTTCAATCCACAGCACCTCAAACAAACACAACAGCCAGCATAAAGCCAGGTGCACACATTATACGCGGTCCTTCCCAGAGATGCTCAGCATGGTGCAAAGACACTCAACACAGGACTAGGACAGTGTGGTGGCAGAACGTTTACTTAGTGTATTAGTCTGATGGCCTCCGCTACCAGACAAGAGCCAGATTTTTAATGTCCAGCAGATCCTAACATTTGAGAAGCCCTGTTCTTAACATTCTTACTTCTTTTAGGGAGGAAAAAGGAAGAAGACAGATAAAATCTCTTCAAAAACAGTTAGTTGATGTAAAAAAGGAGCGTCAAATGCAAGTACAGGTAAGACTCACCTGTGAGGATGACGCCAAAGCTACTACATGGAAATCATCTTCCATAGAAGAGTTAGCTATGAAAGGCCTTCGCTTCTGCTGGGGTGCCTATTTATTTTATTTCATTAATTAACTATTTTTTTTTAAGACAGGGTTTGTCTGTGTAGCCTGGCTGTCCTGGAACTCACAAAGGTCCTCTGCCTCTGCCTCCTTAGTGCTTGGATTAAGGTGGGAGCCACTACTGCCTGGCAACTAATAATTTTTAACAGTTTAGAAAGTTACAAATCAACCCGGCAGTGCTGTTACATGCCTTTAGTCCTAGCACTTGGGAGGCAGAGGCAGGCGGATCTTGGTGAATTTGAGGCCAGCCTGGTCTACAGAGTAAATTCCAGGACAGCCAGGGCTATAAAGATAAACTCTGTCTTGAAACCCAAACAAACAAATAAAGTTACAAACCTAGCATTAGTGTGGTGGTTTGAAGAAAATGGCACCCAAAGAGATTGGTATTAATTGGAAGTATGGACTTGTTAGAGTAGGTGTGGCCTTGTTGAAAGAAATGTGTCAACCTGGAGGTGAGCTTTGAGGTCTCACATTTGCTCAAGCCACGCCCAGTGTCTCAGGCCACTTCCTGTTGTCTGTGAAAGATGTAGAACTCTAGCTAGCTCTCCAGCACTGTGTCTGCTTGCATGCTGCTATGTCCCACTGTCATGATAACAGACCGAACCTCTGAACTGTAAGTAACCCAAATGAAATGTTTTCCTTTATAAGAGTTACCAAGGTCATGGTGTCTCTTCACAGCAATAGAAATCTTCACTAAGACAATCGGCTTCTCACTGCCCAGAACTTTGGGTAAATTTGTACTCCAAAGTGGGCAAGCTTTATTATTCCCTACACAGAATTTGGAAGGCTGTTTTTAAATCTTCTTTAGGTTTAAAAAATTTTTTAAGCTGGGCAGTGGTGGCACATGCCTTAAAACCCAGCACAACACTCAGAAGGCCGAGGCAGGTGGGATCTCTGTGAGTTCAAGGTCAGCCTGGTCTACAGAGCAAGTTCCAAGACAGGCTCCAAAGTTTTACAGAGAAATCCTGTCTCACCCCCCCGCAATTTTTTTTTTTTTTAGATTTTCTTTTTACATGTATTTAGTGTGTGTGGAGGGGCTGTGTGGGAGTGTGTATGCACACGTGTTCTAGGATGTGTATGTGGAGGTTAGATAACATCTTGTAGGAGTTGGTTCTCTCCTTCCATCATGTGGGGTCCGGGGATTGAACTTAGGTTGTCAGGCTTGGCAGCAAGAGTTTGATGCACTGAGCCATCTCACCAGCCCCTTAAAAAGGTTTATCTGGACACAGAGTCTCCTGCACCGACCACCCAAAAATGTACCATGCAGCCCATATAGTCAAATGTACCATACAGCTGACCGTGGAAATCTTACTCCTCCCGTTCAGCCTCCAAGTGCTAGGATTACAGGTGCACACTATTACACTTGGTTGAATACTATTTTAATCAGTGTATTTATGTATGTGAGTGTGCTGTGTATGTCTGCATGTCTGCATGGGCTCGTGGAGGCCAGAAGAAGATACTGGGCATTTTCCTTTTCACCCTATTCCCTCGAGAAATGGACCTGAAATCTGCCATTTCCCAGCTTGCTGATGGCCAGTCAACCCCAGCAATCACACTGTGTCTTCTCCACGGCACTGGATTTGCAGGCATGCATGAGTATGCTCAGGTTTGTTTTTTAATGTGGTGCTGACCCAGGCCATCATGGTCGTGCAGCAAGCACTCCTCTTTCCTGTCTTAGTTACCTTTTGATGGCTCTGAAGCAACCCTGTGGATAAGGCAACTTACAAAAGAAAGCTTTCAAAGGCGGGGGGTGGGGGGAGCATTCATTGGGGTTTCAGAGGGTGAGTCCATGACCATCATTGCAGGGAACATGGCAGCAGACAGGCAGACAGGCTTTGGAGCAGTAACTTAGAGCTTACATGAGGCAGAGAGGGAGAGAGACGGAGAGAGGAGACAGTGTTGGAAGGGTTGTTAAAAAAAAAAAAAAAGATTGGTAGCAGTTAAGTATAATGGTGCTAACCTGAAGTCTCTACACTGAGGAATGGGGGCTGAAGCAGAGGAATTGCAAGTTTGAGGATAGCTTGGGCTATAGGGCAAGTATAACCTTGGCTATATAAGACCCTGTTTCAGGAAAACTAAATAAGAGGAGCTGGGGAGGTAGCTCTGTGGGAAAGTGCTTGCCATCATGTACAAAGTACCTGTTCATCACCTCCTGTGTGTGAGTGGGGGGTGATGGTGTATGCACATGCGGGGGCTGGTGTCTATGCCTGTGAGGACATGTGGAAGGCAGAGGAAGACGTTGGCTGTGTTGCTCTGTCACTCTCCACCTTATTGCCTTGAGACAGAGTCTCTCACTGTTTTAGCTAGGCTGGCTGCCAGTGCAATCCTGGGGTATCTGTCATCACACTGCAGTGCTGGGGTTACAGATACAGCAATAGCTATGTAGATCAGGCTGGTCTGAAACTGTCAGGGATCCACCTGCTTCTGACTCCAGAATACTGAGATTAAAGGTGTGTGCCACCATGCCCAGCAATGCCTGGCTTTCACAGTGTTTTTTAATTATGTTTGTTGTGTGTGCGTGTGTGTGTGTGTGTGTGTGTGTGTGTGTGTGTGTGTGTATGCGTGCACTTAGAGGTCAGAAGACAACTTGCAGGAACTGGCTTTCTCCTTCCTGTAGGCAGACTTTTCTATCCTGCCGGCCAGTTCCCATCCCAGTGACTTATGTTTACACACTGTAAAAGAATATTCTACACCTTCTACCATTGTGAGTACTGGGGATTGAGTTTATTTAGGTTATCAGGTTTGGCAACAAATACCTTTACCCACAGCCCATGGGGATTTGAACTCTGGTCCCCATGCTTGTATAACAAGCATTCTTATCCACTGAGCCATCTTCCCCCCAGCTCCAAGATGTGATCTTCAAGTTCCTTCCAATTGCTGACCATTTACTTGTTGTGTATTTGTTAGTTACAAAGTATCTCGGGTGTTGGTCTTGATGCTTTACCCAAGTTAATTCCTGTATTTCTCCCCACCCCCAACCATTTTTCTTATTTGTGAGGATTTATAAAAGCTCACTTCCTATGCAGCCACCAGGGCTTTATGAACACTAATTGGCTGACTGCTCTGCCACCCCATCATCTTCTCTGGATTCAATAATATGTCCAGCAGGCAGTGGGGGGCTTGGAATAGAAAGTGTGGTCTGCCTTCAAACCCCACAAATAGACCAAATCAGGCCAAGGACCTTGGTCATGATGATCAGGATGATAGGCTGTGGTGAAGGCAGATCTCCAAGTGAAAGGCCTTAAAAGAAATTCCTGAGTCAAGTTTCTTTGTAGTACCATCCCTGTGCAGTGTATGCTGTGTCCCTGCAGAAGTGTGCTGTGTCTGTGCAGGCCTGTGCAGTGTATGCTGTGTCTGCAGTGTGTGCTGTGTCTGTGCAGGCCTGTGCAGTGTATGCTGTGTCTGCAGTGTGTGCTGTGTCTGTGCAGGCCTGTGCAGTGTGTGCTGTGTCTGTGCAGACCTGTGCAGTGTGTGCTGTGTCTGTGCAGGCCTGTGCAGTGTGTGCTGTGTCTGCAGTGTGTGCTGTGTCTGTGCAGGCCTGTGCAGTGTGTGCTGTGTCTGTGCAGGCCTATGCAGTGTCTGTGCAGTGTGCTGTGTCTGTGCAGTGTGTTGTGTCTGTGCAGTGTGTGCTGTGTCTCTGCAGGTGTGTGCAGTGTGCTGTGTCTGTGCAGTGTGTGCTGTGTCTGTGCAGACCTGTGCAGTGTGTGCTGTGTCTGTGCAGGCCTGTGCAGTGTGTGCTGTGTCTGCAGTGTGTGCTGTGTCTGTGCAGGCCTGTGCAGTGTGTGCTGTGTCTGCAGACCTGTGCAGTGTGTGCTGTGTCTGTGCAGTATGTGCTGTGTCTCTGCAGGTGTGTGCAGTGTGTGCTGTGTCTGTGCAGGCCTATGCAGTGTCTGTGCAGTGTGCTGTGTCTGTGCAGTGTGTTGTGTCTGTGCAGTGTGTGCTGTGTCTCTGCAGGTGTGTGCAGTGTGCTGTGTCTGTGCAGTGTGTGCTGTGTCTGTGCAGACCTGTGCAGTGTGTGCCGTGTCTGTGTAGTGTGTGCCTCTGCGGGAGTGTGAAGTGACTCAAGTGGCATGTTTTGCTTTGTGGGAATATATGGAAATGGACCTGAACTTCAGTTCAATTTCTGGAATACTTCAGTTGTGATTTTAGCATCTAAAGCCAGCTAAGATTTTATATTTACTCTGTATTTCACACTGTCACTAAAATGTTTGTGTGAGACATGTTTGCAAAAAATGTTTATGGGAAGCAGCAAGGAAAACAGAATTCAAAAGCCTAAGGCAACAGCATTAAAATCAGATGACTTAGGCTACTTCATTTTCATACGGCCAATGTTACATGAATTCATAAAAAGTTGCATAATATAATATTACATGATATAAACCTTCTGTTTGCCATAGGCCTCTGCCATAGCCTTCTAGAGGGTTTTTGAATAATTTTTGTTCTTTTTGAGACAGGGTTTCTCTGTGTAGCCCTAGCTGTCCTGGAACTAGCCCTGTAGACCAGGCTGGCCTCGAATCACAGAGATCTGCCTGCCTCTGCCACCACCTCCTGGCCTTAAAATGATTTTTTAAAATTATGTGTATGCAAGCATGTCTGAGTGCCTACATATGTTTGCATGTGTGTTTATATGCATGCATGAGTGTATACATACATGTGTGCTGCATGCTGTGTGTGTGTGTGTGTGTTGGTCAAGGAGGTTTGAAGATGGGTACTGAATCTCTGGAGCTGCAGTTACAGGTGGTTATGAGCTGCTCAGCATGTGTGTGGGTGCTGGGAACCAAAGTCAGGTTCCCCTGGAAGTACAGGAAGTGCTCTAAACACTTCACCATCTCTCCAGGCCTGACTTCTGGACACTTTGATAAAACCAACCAGAACATGGGCACATCTTATCTTGTGCACAATAAGGGCTACAGATTTTTCTTTCAGATTTCTGGAACATATCCCTGTCTTAGTTGATTGGAGACTCTAGCATGGACTTCACCTTTTCTTTTGGTTTAAAATTTTCTTGACTCATTTTTCATAAATTGGCTTATTCATCTTTCAAGTGTTAGATAACAAGTACCTCAGAGGATCCTTCTTAGACACTGTGCTACTGCAGATCGCCCTTACTGTGTCTCCCAGTGCCTATTGCCTTCTCCCACACCATCCCAAACAGGTTAGATAAGTCCACACAAACTTTTTTTTTTTTTTTTTTTTTTTTTTTTTGATAACACCTTTCCACTAGACTGCAATCCTTATGGGATTTAGGCTGTTTCAGTCTCCACTGTTCCCTGCTGCCTAGCTCAGTGTCTGCTACTGAAAATTTTTCTTTTTTTTAATCAGTGACTTTTAAGACCTTAAAATCGTGAAGCATACCAGGTGGGGTGCACACCTTTAATCCCAGCACTTGGGAGGCAGAGGAAGACAGATCTCTGTGAGTTCGAGGTCAGCCTGGTCTACAGAGTGAGTTCCAGGATAGTCAGGGCTGTTACACAAAGAAACTGTCTCAAAAACCAGAGTAACAAACAAAAGATGATGGTTAATGTGAAGCAAACCCACTCCTATTTACTATACCTGGTAGGGGCATAAACACATTCCAAGAACAGATCCATGTTATGGAGGAGCAGAGGTTACAAGACTGTTGTTTTTTTTTTTTTTACAAGCTCTCAGAAATGTCTTCATGCAGCTCTATTCATGGACTGTGCGCTGACACTGGAGAAATCCAATCAGTCTGGATTTGCTAGTTTCATTTCCTCTCTCTCTCTCTCTCTCTCTCTCTCTCTCTCTGTCTCCTCCTCCTCTCTCTCACATTCATTATTATGTGTGTGGAGTACATGTATGGAGGCCAGGGAACAACTTGAGGGAGTTAGTTCTCTCCCTCTACCACATGGGTCCCAGGGATCAAACTCAGATCATAAAGCTTGGTGGCAGTGATTCACTGAGCCCTCTGGCAACCCCTCTGCCTTTTTGGAGACAGAGTCTTCTGTAGCCCAGGCTGGCTTTTAGCAGCTAAGAATATAGCCTAGGATGACCTTGAATTCCTGAACTTTCTGCCTTTATTTCCCAAGGGCTGGGATTATAGGTATGTACCACTACATTCAGCTTCGTTTTCTTTCCTTCTTTTGAGATAGGGTCTCAATGTGTAGCTCTAGCTGGTTTGGAACTTGCTACATAAGTAGCCTGGCCTCAAATGCACAGAACCCCCCCCCCCGCCTGTACCTCCAGAGTGCATGTGTTCCACCATTATTTTTCTTTTTAATGAGACTGTGGTACTGGTTGGCCTGGAATCTGTGAGCGTCCACCTCCTGGTTCTGAGATTCATTTTCATTCACAATATCTCAATGACTGAGTAGTTTCCTTTAGTGTTCTGGGAGAAAGCCAGCCCCACTTGCCTGTTGCCTTATAAGCATAATGAATTTTTAGTTCAGAAACCCGGTCTCATCTCTGCAGAATGGGAATGAATACATTGCTCACCTCAAGGACCAGTTACAAGAGATGAAGGCCAAAACCAACATGGAGAATCTTTATATGAAAAGAAACACTGAGCTGCAGATTTCCCAGACCCAGAAGAAATGTAACAGAGCAGAGGAACTCTTGCTGGAGGAGATTGAGGTAATCTGTGCTACACTAGGCTATCTGGGGATGGAGCTTGGTGACAGCATGTGCCAGGTTCTCAGTCCACCTTCCAGTGTCAACAAACAAAACAAAACACCCAGGTAGATGACTTGATGTCTGTGAGCTGTCACTTTAAAAAAAAGATTCATTTATCTTGGGTGGGACAGATGGATCAGCTGTTAAGTGTACACACACTTTTTAGCTGAGTGGTGGCGCACACTTTTACTTCCAGCACTTGGGAGGCAGAGGCAGGCAGATCTCTTTGAGTTCAAGGCCAGTCTAGTCTATGGAGTGAGTTCTAGGAGCTCCAGGGTCACACAGAGAAACCCTGTCTAGAAAAACAAATGAGAGTCCATGCATTTCTTTCAGAAGCCCTGCTCTCTGTCCCCAGCACCCATGTTGGGAGGTTTACAATGTCTACTCCAGCTCCATATTTTAGTATTATGTATAGGTGTGTGCATGTTAGTGCTCAGGTAGGCTAGAGGCATTGGACCCACTGACCTGGAATTATAGGTGGTTTTGGACCACCCAACCTGGGTGGTAGGAACAGCACTTAGGTCCTCTAGCAAGAGCAGTACACTCTTAACTGCCGAGTTCTCTTCTGCTTCAGCCAGTGAAAGAGGAGGAAGATGATTAAGGGTTTCCTTCATGACCAGTGCAGCTCTTGAGGTCAAACATACAAGATTACATGGGGCCTTAAATATTTGTGATTAGAGACTTTAGTGACTATGCCCCCTGCTGCTTTTTTAAAAATTTATTTATTATGTATAGTGTTCTGCCTGCATGTATGCCTGCACACCAGAAGAGGGCACCAGATCTCACTATAGATGTTTATGAGCCACCATGTGGTTGCCTGGTCCTCTGGAAGAGCAGCCAGAGCTCTTAACCTCTGAGCCATCTCTCCAGCCCTGCCCTGCTTCTTTATATGCCTTGGAGAAGGCTGCTGTGGAAGCCTACCTCCTAGGTGCTACTCTCGGACCACCCCCAACCCCTCTGTTTAGTTATGTTTTGTCATCACAGTCTTCCCTCCTCCTCCTTCAGGCTGGCCTCAAACTCATTTTGTAATGCAGGGCTGGCCTTAAATTGATCTGCCTGCCTCAGCCTCCAAAGTGCTGGGATTCCGGGTGTAGGCAGTCTTGAATTCTGTACTTCTCTGGGTTGAGAATCTTGTACACTTGAAGCATTGTTCTTAGATGACAGGGTTGTGATGGCGTTTTTTCCGGGGCCCTTGTGTGTGTGTGTGTGTGTCTCTAACGCGGTGTCAGCCTGTGGCTCTGCAGGGTTTGTGGAATACAAATGGCTAGATAGCTCTTTGGGGGAGCCCTGGCATTCCCGGGGTCCCTGTTGCAGGGGTTGACTGGGAACTTGGTGAGGAGAGAGCATGTGTTTGATGCATTACAGAAACTAAGGATGAAAACTGAAGAAGAGAACAGAGTTCACACGGAGATCGAAATGTTCCTTAAGAAAGAGCAGCAGGTGAGTCATCTGGATATTTGACTCCTCAATTAGAATCAAATTAGAGATGGCCTAGAGGTTAAGAGCACTGACTGCTCTTGCAGAGGACCCCAGTTCAGTTCCCACCATCTACGTGTCAGTTCACAGTTGCAACTCCAGGCCCAGGGGATTCGGTATCCTCTTCTAGCCTTCGGGGACATTGGGTGCACATATACATACAGACCAAACACCCATACACATAAGGTAAAGAGATCATTTTTTTTTTAAATTCCACTTTAGGCAGCGTTGGCACACACCTTTAATCCCAGCATGGGAATCACAGGCAGGCAGATCTCTGAGTTTGAGGCCAGCTTGGTCTACAAAGTGAGTTCCAAGACAGCAAGGGCTGTTACATAGAGGAAACCCTGTCTTGAAACTGCACCCCCCATACCCCCATCCCAACAAACAAATAAACAAACAAACAAACCAAAATCCTTCCTGGTCTCCATAAAACTAGGGTGGAAAGGGCTCCATAGTGAGACCCTGTCTTAAACAAAAAATTCCACTCATAAAGGTCCAAGGAAAGCAACGGTTTTGTATTTAAGGAGAGTGTCTCACTATGTAGTCTGGCTGGCCCAGAGTTCATTATGTAGACTAGGATTCAGTACCTCTGCTTCCCAAGTGCTGGAATTAGAGGCAGATGCCACCATATCTGGCTGCAACTTTAAAAAATCTTGTAATGGACTGAAGAGTTGGCTCAGTAGGTAAAACGCTTGCTGTGTAAGCATTAGGACACTTGTAACCCCAGCTCCAGGGTGATGGTGGAGATGGCACAGCCCCCGGGGCTGGCAGGCTGCCTGGCTATTCAGCTTGACTGACCACTGACTTTCATGATGGTGAGAGACCTTGTCTCAAAGCACAAGGTGGGGACCCAGAGAGAAGGCCCCATGGTCAAGAGTGCTTACTGCTCTTGCAGAGGCCTGGATGGCTCACAACTACCTGTAACTTAGTTCTGGGGAATCAGACACCTTCTTCCTGCCTCACAGGACCTTGCATGTACTCCGGACGTGCACACACTTGAGAAAATAAACAACTGTAAAAGAAGCTAAAACAACTACACTTAAGGTGGACTTCTGGTCTCTATACACACTTGTGGGTATGGGCACATACACGTTGATGCACACATTCACTCGTGAGTGTACCTAGACACATATGAACACACGCACACACTTGTATTCATGTACACAAACAAACAAACTGATAAAATACAAAGGAGAGTAAAGCTAAATAATAAATCACTATTAAAAATGTTCTTTGTGGTAGGTTTGGCTCTGCCACTCCAGATGCCTCAGCCTCCTGAGTGGTGGGATTATAGGAGTGTGCACAATAGCTGGCATAAATATCTTGTTTTCTCCTCCTCCCTCCCTTGATCCTTCCTTCCCTCTCTCCTCTTCCTTCTTCAATCAGATGGACAGTCAGTTGTATAAAATGGACTGTTCACTCACTGAGATTATCTTCTTCCCTTTTGACATGTTAAACACTATGGATTTGCTGTTGACTCCTTTAAAAACCTTACCTGGTCATAATGAACATGGCCAGCCAATGCTGTGGTTATCAGTTAGGTGTGTTGGTGAATGAATGCCACTGGGTGTCACACACAGCACTAGCAATGTTCTCCAGAGCCTCCAGGAGGCCATGGCATGTCCTGCGCCCTCTACTGACAATTCTTAGTATTTTGCTAGGTGGCCAAAGAAATATTTCTAGTGAGGCCAGGCAGGACAGAGAGGGCTTGGAGCCTAGAGGCAGCAAGCTGACAGCAAATGCAAACAGGGAGGTTGACTGTGTAGGTCACTGGTGTGTAAATTTTATTATGTTAAGGAATTTGTCAAAGTTGCGTTGTTCTTTTTTTTAAACAGTAACTACCCATTTGTTTATCAATTTAAATTTTTTTGAGACTGCATGGCATAACACAGCCCTGGCTATGGAACTCACTATGTAGATCAAGTTGGCCTCACACTCAAGAATTCAGTTGCCTCCTGAGTGCTGGGATTGATGGTGTGAGTCACCATGTCTGGCTGAGATGCATTTTTTCATCCATCAAAATGATGTATTTTTTCCTTTAATATGTTCATAAAGTAAAATACACATGTGCACTATATAAGTCTGTCTGTCTATCTGTCTGTCTACCGACCTACCTACCTACCTACCTACCTACCTATCTATCTATCTATCTATCTATCTATCTATCTATCTATCTATCTATCTAACATGTGTATGTGTATATGTATTTCTGCCACATGGAAGCCAGAAGAGGATATTAGATTCCCCTGGAGCTGGAGTTACAGGTGGTTGTGAACTACTCAAACTTAGCCCTCCACAAGACTAGGACAGGTTCCTAAACAACAACAACCACCACCACCCAGTAAAGCGTGACTCTTGGTGACAGTAAGCCACAGCCCGGAACTGAAGTTCCTCAGGAGGCAGTCAAGTCTAATGGGAGGCACACAGGCTCTGAACTTGGATTGCCAAGGTTCAGATTACAGTCTAGCCCTCAAGTTTCCTTGAATTTTCTAGACCTCTAGCTCTCTCAGCTAGTGGTTGTAAAACAGAAACAGAACAATCCCTGTACAGCATAATGTGGCATAATATGTACTGACATTTGCACAAAATTGATTTCAAGATAGGATATTGGGAAGGGGGAGGTAAATCAAAAGTTTTACTTTAATAAAAGCAACAGAATATATCCATCTTAGTAACTTCCTAAGACTGAATCTCATCTTTCTATCATATTGGAAAATTATGTTGGCTCAGAATCATACCTTAGAATCATGTCTATTTTCACTGAGAATCTTCAATATTCCCCTCCCCCAGGCAGGGTTTCTTATATGCAGGCTGGACTAGAACTTGCTATGTAGCCAGTGATGGCCTTGAACTCCTGATCCTCTTCTACTTTGGTTGCAGCTGTGGGCAATCATGTTTAGTTTTATGTGTACTGACTGTCAAACCTGGGGCTTTGTACATGCTAGACCAGCACCCCAACTGAGCGTATCCCCAGCTTACACACATTTCAGTCTTTTGACTAGTGTTTAGTGTTGTTAATAATAAGAGCTGATGTCATTGCTTATCTTTGAGAATTTCTACCTGCTCCTCTGCCTCCTCTCCCACGACACTGAAGCTCCTCTCCCTTGCTTTTACGTTGGCTTTGGTTATTGATTCATTTCTGAAGAGTTCAAGCATTTTTTTTTTGCTGGGTGTCAAACCCATGGCCATAGGTGCACGGCAAGAATTACCCTGAGCTGTGCCCCAATCCCTCCTCCTGTTTTTGTTGTCATCTCATGTATTTTTCTCATGTTATTAGTTGATAATTTCATAAAATGTATTTTGATCATATTTTCCTCTCCAACTCCTTTCAGATCTAACCCCCACTTCCCCCCCCCAAAAAAAAAACCAAAACTCATCAGGCACAATTTTTACTGCCCATATACTCTTGGATGTGTGGCATTCTAGTGAAATGTGGTAGCTACCAGCGGCCACGCCCTCAAAGATGGACTCTCTCTCCCAACAGCTATAATTTGCCATTAGCGTCTTAGCTGGAGTGGGAGTCCTTGCCCACCTCCACCCTCTATTCTGAGCTTTTTGGCCGGCTTGAGTTCATGCACAAGATGTTAGTTCATAGGCACCCCTCCTCCTATTTTAAAAACTGAGTGGCTTACACACAGAAAAGTATACAGATATGGAGTGTGTAGTTTGATGTAGCCACCAACCTGATAAAATGTCAGCACCCTCTCTCTCATGCCCTCACCAAATTTGTTTTGATTGGATCTCTGTAGGAAAATTTGCTTGTTCTTGATGTAACTGGCATCACGGTCCTTATATTTTATGTCTGGTAGGATCCATGTTTTAATGTTCTTTCCAAGTAGAAACTTGAGGAGAAGCTAGAGTTCTGGATGGAGAAATTTGATAAAGACACAGAAGCGAAACAGAATGAATTAAATGCTCTCAAGGCTGCCAAAGCCTCTGACCTATCACATCTTCAAGACCTTGCAAAGATGGTAAGGGGTGGTAGGGGGACCCTTGGAGAATGAGTGGACGCTAAGCTAGGGACTGGGAAAGACTTTGGCCAACAGTAGAGGTGTGCCTGTAAAACAATGGGATTCTCTGATGATGACAAGGGCAGATTTTTTTTTTTTTTTTTTTTTTTTTTTTTTTTTTTTTTTGAGACATACACTTGCTGTGTAGAGCAGACTGGCCTGGGCTTGTGGCAATCTTCCTGCCTATGTCCCTGGCACTCTGGGATTACTGGCATGCAGGGCTGGTTGGGCTATGTCAATTGTGCTCTGTGTGTACTTGTCCAGATCCGGGAGTATGAGCAAGTCATTATTGAGGACCGGTTGGAAAAGGAGAAGACCAGGAAGAAGATGGAGCAGGACGACCTGGAGCTGAAGAGCATCGTGAAGGTAGGATGCTGGGGTGGTTGGGGCGGGCATGGTGGATATAGACCATGGGCCCTCTGCAGCACATGGTAAGGTGTGTACACACAGTCACAGTGCAGGCAGGCAAAGAAAAGAGCAAACCCGGCTCCCTATGGATAGGAGGTGAGCAGTGGAAGCAAAGTTTCTTTTCAGCCATAAAATCTGAGGAAGGGACTCTGATATAGGCAGCATGCTTCCGAATGCCCTGTCTTCCTCCACACCCTGATGTAAACCAACCCTGGCTGTCTGCTGTCATCCAATACAAGTTGCTTAAAAGAAAAAAAAAAAAAAAACCAAAAATCTAAGAGGTAAAAGGGACAATGCAAAAAACCATGTTTAAAACTTTTAGCTTAGTATTTTTATTATTTATTATTTTTGAGACAGTGTCTTTCTCCACAGCCTTGACTCTTCTTCCTCGGCCTCTTGAGCATTGGGGATTATAGCTGTGAGCAATCAAGGCCTAGCTGAGATAGTAAAATATCTCAAAAGTTCTATGTGAAGTTGCAAATATTAATAATGACAACACCATCAGGTCCAGATTCTGGAAAATGTTTTTAAGATTCACTTTTATTTTTAATTATGTAAAGGTCTGTGTGTCTGTATGTGGGTATGTGTACTTGAGTGCAGGTACCTACAGAGGCCCAGAGGGGCATCAGGTTCCTTGGAGCTGGAGTTACAGATGTTTGTGAACTTCCAGATGTTGCGCGTATTGGGAAACTAACTCATGTTATCTGCAAGAGAACTACATGCTCTTAACTGCTGAGTCATCTCTTCAGCCGTTGGAAAAAATATGCTTAAAGCAAAAACTGTAATGCAAAGACAGCAGCTGGTTTGAAAAAAACAAAAACAAACAAAAACCACTATGTGGAAGAACATCCTTTCCTTCAGGGGCCCTGGGGGGAATGAATCTGGGATGTAGAGTAGGAAGCAAGTTCTGCCCATGTAACTCAGGCTGGCCGTGAACTCCACCGCTCAAGAGCTGGAATCACAGGTGCACCACCACAAAGCCGTGTTCTGTTCCATTTTGTGATCATGGGTGGGTATCACGCACAGGACCTCTCAGCATTTTATCACTAAGCCACAACCGCAAGTCCAAAATGAAAATTTTAAAGTACTTTCAGGGCCACGTATCCAAACTCATCTTTGATCTTCCTGTTAGGAAAATCTGGTGTATAATTAGAAATGTTGGTCAAACCTTCATGTCTTGTTTGTCAAGATTCAATTCACAGTGAAGAACTAAGCGGAGACTACTTTTGTTCTCACTAGTGGATTCATGTGCTCTCAGAAGGCAAGGCTAGTCTGATTTCATAGTCTAGATTGCTCAGAACAGTTTCATCACACTGACAAAGACATCCAAGGGGACTTTTAGATGCTCCCCAAAGACTGTGACACACCATCAACCACTGAGTCTTCTCAGCGGGTCCCTGAGTGCAGGTAACAGACATTCATTCCCTTTATCACCAATGGCTGTGAGGTCTTTTTTACCAAAGGGCAAACACGACACAGAAGTTGGAGCTCTAAGTCTGAAGGAAAACTGGGCCCTAGCACACTGCATTTTCACTCTAGGCCAGGGACAGCAGAGTAGCCATACTGACAGCAGCCCGGCACACTGCCGTATCTCAGAGATGTTCCTTAAACACAAGCGACTGTTGGTTCTCTCTTGTGAAGAAAGGTCACAGTGCTGTTGGGCACACTGAGATGAACTGTCTCCCTTCTCTTTTGTAGCTCCAGGCCTGGTGGCGAGGTACAGTGGTCCGGAAGGAAATTGGAAGTTTCAAAATGCCCAAGAAAGACAAAGATGACAGTAAAGATTCCAAAGGAAAGGAGAAGGAAAAACGGAGAGGCAAGAAGTGACAAGTACCCGTTGTTCTTTCCTCCGGTTTCAAGAGACACAAATGATGCTATCACAACACTCACCTGTGGTTTGTCATCCTTGATGCCTAGGGAGTTCACTAGGTCTGTTACCCTAGTTTTCAGATCCCAAATGGGGGCTGTAGGGCCTCTTCACCAGAGTGTGGACTTGGGGGAAGAAGTGATGAGTAGCTTCTTTCTCATTAGAAAACAGTTCATTGGCTTATAGTGATGCATTAAAAACTCCTGTAATATTTCTGATTCTGATTTTATACCATATGATTAAAGTTAAAAACTGCTAGAAGCAAAACTGAAATGTTCAGTGAGAATTCCAAGGGTATCAGGCAGCATGACATGTATGCACACAGCAGTTAGTAAACTTTGATTCTTGCCTGTCTCACACGGTCACCATCTGTCTGGGGTTGGTGATCCTGGGGGTAGCACCTAATAGACCTCTTACATAAGCTGCTTCGGCAACTTTTCTGGGGATAGATAGGTATGAAGTAGCCAAAACGAGAGAGGTGGAGTGTGGATAGTCTTCAAGTGGTAAAGATGGGTTCTAGAAGGCTAGTGCAGAGATGTTTTGCCAAGTGAGACCCAACTATGTCCACCACCTGGAATTAACACTTAAAGAAACACGATGGACAGAAACGGGCCTGTGTGGCACACAACAAAGCTGGCTATTTGCAGTTCTTCCTTAAAACCACAAGTCCACCGCCTCATTCTTGCTTTGACTAGTCAACAAGGAATGTCTTGGAATGCTAGAGCTTTCAGGACAGCGCAGCCCGTTCGTGTGTCTTGTCTCCACCCTGCTCCTCTTCTTTCTCTGTGTGTGTGTGTGTGCTTGTATGCTGGTACACATGCAGAGTTAACTCTGTGGACTCCGTTCTCCCCAACTTTTTGTGGGTTCTCAGGCTAATTCAGGTTGCCAGGCTCATCTCAGAACCTGCAGGATAGACCAGGCTTGCCTTCAATTCAAAGATATGCCTGCCTCTGCCGTCCTGTGTGCTGGGATTAAAGATGCACACTACCATGCCTACCTTGTTTCTTGAAAACAAGTTTCACTGGGCGGCACTTGGGAGGCAGAGGCAGGCGGATCTGTGCATTTGAGGCCAGCCTGATCTACAAAGCTATAAGGAGAAATCCTGTCTGGAAAAAAAAAAATCAAACTATTTAGCATGTACATACAAACATGTATGCATGTACATGCCACAACTCAGGTGTGGGGATGAGAGGAGGGCAGCTTTCAAAAACTGTTTCCTTCTCCTGTGTCTCTTTTGGGTCCTGGGATTAAACTCAAGTCATTGGGTTTGGCAGCAAGCCCCTTTCCCTGCTGAGCCATTTCACTGGTCCTCAACTGGTTATTTCTGAGAGGAAAGTTACCTTAATATATCTTATGTATTTCATGAATTAAGACTTCATGTAGCCCAAGTTGGTTTCAAACTCATTATGTAGTAGGCTGGCCTTAAACCTCCTGCTCTGTCTCGTAAGTGCTAGGATTATAGATAGGAGTGAGTGACCATACTGGTTTGAGTTCATGCATGCCAGTAGGCACACTACCAACTGCAGTACAGCCCTAGTCTGAATTGAGCCTAAACCTTGCTGTGATCGCGGGCCACCTCCCCACTCCTTAAGAAGTGTTAACCTCAAAGGCTGTTTTAACAAGATTTATCCCTTCATCGAGCCAGATAGACAGATGCTCTTTCTTGATTTGTCTTTGCTACAGAGACCAAGTTTTAGACTTGAACATTTGCAAGTGTTTATTACATGCTACTGAAGTAATGGCTTTTATTTTAATGTTCACATATAATATGGCATACAGGCAACTTAAAATAACATACACAGTATTGACATATTTATACTTAGAACTTACACAATATATTTACAGACATACAAATATAGGACAATGTTTACAAAACCTTTTACTAATTACATGTAACATTTCAGAAGTCAAATCTGCTGTAACCACCTCACTGCAATGTGTATATAAAAGGCTTCTAAACAACCAAGTTTTCCTTCATTTCTACAACCATCTAAGTACTTAGTTCTTCAAACTCATCAGCATAGCACATTATTAGTCACTGCTGACTAGAGGAAACCAGATTATAGGCTCCCTGATTAGCTGCAAGGGTGTATTTACATAGTGGCTGGGTTGGAAACCACCCACTGATCTGCTTTTTCAGTCTGTTCTAGCCAAATGCAAGGTTCCTCCACTGCATCCCTCAGACCTGCTCATTACAGGAGGGTCTTGGTTGGAGTGCTAGGCAGAGACACCTCTGCAAGCCTGCAGACCGCTGACATGCCATCTCTGTAGGTGGTGGGTCAGGGCTTTCCAGCCACCAGCACTGGTAAGGTAGCCATTTCCGGTCAAGGGACGACGACAAGACTAACTTTATCTTACAATGGGGTCTCTAGCAAGGTTAAATACAAAATGGATTGTTCTTTCCAATTAGAAACATATGTATGAAGCCATAAAAGGCCAATGGAAACCTGATTTGTTGTTATATGCGGACTCAGAAGAACTGTGATATCTGCAGCCAAACTGTGCAAATGTTTCCTGATGATTAAATTTGAATTAGCTTGATAAGTACATTAAGGTCTTACATGAAAAACTGAAACGTTAAAATGTCCTCTTTTTTTCTGAGGTAGTGTCTCACTGTGTAGCCCTGGAACTCACGGTGTAGACGAGATCTGCCTCCCCTGACCCTCAAAAGCTGGGATTAAAGGCGTATGCTGTCATGCTCTGCAACGGCAGTGTAACTCGTAGGAACTCCTGTAGGTATTCCAAGTGTTGCAGTATGTCATGTCTTCTGGACTCATTTTCTATACAACAGTAAAATCTAGAATTTAGAAATTATGCTGTGGTTTAATGATAACTAGAAGTTGTAGCTACAGCCCAGCAGCACAGCTGGTCGTAAACAATCCATGTCGCTTCTGTTGTGCGAGGATGCTGAAGAGCTGGGCAGGAGCAGGTGCTCTAGGTTATACTTACTCACTTTCTCTTGAGGCAAGGGCTTGTGGTATAGCCCAGGCTGGCCTGAAATTCATGTTCCTCCAGCCTGAGTTATAAGCACGTGCCGTCATGCCTGGCTGTTGTTACATGTTTTTAAACTTGGATAAAGTGGCAATGTTCTAATAAACACTTCTCTGCACAAACAAGGAGAAATTATTTTGACCACTCAAAATGATTTTGTTCAAAGTCACTTTTAAAGGAAGAATATTTTTGTAAAAGTATTTTTACATGTATGATTGTTTTATCTTCTTGTATGTATGTGCACCATGTACATGCCTGGTACTTGAGGAAGTCATTGGAGGGCATCAGTTATGAAGTGCTTTGTGGGTACTGGGAATTGAACCCTGACCCTTTGCAAGAGCAGCCAGTGCTCTCAACTGCTGGGCCAGTTCTTCAGCCACAATCTAAAGCAGCCCAGGTGGGCTGAAGCTGCCTGGCATCCTGCAAAATCCTGGCCATCCAACTTTCACTTTCAGAATGTCTGGAGTTACAGGCTCGTGTGCCTCCCTGCACCTTATTTTAGGTGGTGCCGGGGATAGAACCATGGTCCAGTATCAAAGTTATTACTTTTAGACACCACACAGGGTAAATACTGTTCTCAAATGCAAGCCTTGGGAAGAAAAACCATAAAAGTTAACGATTACAGGGGAAAACCCTACAAAACAGCTTTATGTAATTACTCTTTTGTCACAATGAACACCAAAGACACAACTAACAGCTAAAAAGTGTGCAAAATCTAGGGGAAGAAAAAGCTTTATGGTTAAATTTAAACACAGATGCCTACTTTGTGCGGGAACCCTAGGTCCTTTTGTTCTCTGCTCACAGCTATGCAGTAAAGGCACAGGCAGGTGGATGGGGGGGGGGGGCTAGATGAGAGACACCAAGTTGCTTTGCTCTGAGTGCTTTCCTGGAGCTATGGAAACTGGCTGTTACCTGCAAGGACTGTAAGAAGTGTGGCTCTCCTTCAGGTCTCTTGGCATTGTGTTCAGGGTCTCGTGAGCAGGATGCTGTTAGTGCAGTTGCCCTGCCTAGTTCAGGTGTCCTGGGATCGGCATGCAGGGCTCACTGAGGCAAATGCAAATACTGTTGAGTAGTGCACGTTATACCTTACGGTTTAGAACTGTGGTATCATGTGTCTGTGTTTAGGAAATAGCAGGGTGATGCGCAGAACCACCCTCTAGAAAAAGATGGGGTGGTAGTGGGCAGGGCTGGGGAGAGGCCTGGACATTGGTTTTAAATACCCGTTATACTGTGCAATATTGAGGGCTTCTCTATTATTTTTGTTTTCTTTGACAGAATTGTCCAAGTCATCACAATATAGCCTTTGATTTAAATGCAGTAGGGGTGGTACCCTCAAACCACAAAACTATGTGTCTTGGAACAGTGGTCTCTACTGCCTAAGAACAACTACAATGTCTGCCGAAAATGCAGGTTCCAAGGCCACAGACAAAACCTTTGATGCAAATCTGGATTTCACAAATGCTCCAGGAGAATGAAGCCCAACTGTGGAAACCACTGAGCCGTAGATACCAGGAACTGGCAAAGATAATAGCATGTCTGTCTCCCGAGAGCTAAACAGATGGCTTTGATACTGGCTCTGGCATGAAAAATGAGTCTGCTCCCTAAGAAGAGAGCACAGCCAGCTTAGGCTTCCAATGTTGACTCCTCGGTAACGAAAGTTCCACTAAACTGTGTCTTCATTAGAAACAAAAAATAGTGGTAATGGGTTTAACCTCCCCTAAAATGGAGAAATGAAGCAAACATTCCTGGCAGGAATCATGAAGACAGCACTTCTGGGAACGCACAGGGCTCTGTCTGAACAGGTGACGCCAGCAATTGCATCCTCCCGCTCCTTGTTTTGGCTGTGCCAACACCCAGGGCCCTGGGAGTCCTCAGACAGCAGAGAGCTGTGGTGGCTGCTGCTGCTGCTGCTGCTGCTGCTGCTGCTTGGGCGGGGCAAGTTCCAGGAGGGCCTGGACAGTCACCGCAACCTGGCTCAACCCTTTCTCTTCTAAAATGTGCAGAGGCAAACATAATTGCTCCTGAAAGGGGACAATGTAACATAAAACAAACAGAAATCAGGATGAACATCACAGAACTGAAAGGAACTTCCACCTCCCACCCCATAATAATCAAGTGAGGTACAGAAAGTTCCTGGTAAACCCACCCTGCTAAAGGAGGCAGACGCAGATGGTGTCTCACACTCAGGGCCACTTTATTAACACAGTTAAAGGTTCATACAGAACATCTGGAAAAGCACAAGACTGAACAGGTGACACACAGTTACATAGCAGGAG